CCCAGGCAAACGAACACGTCCCTGCACTGAGCCAGCAGGTCTTGTCATCCCTTAACTGCCATCCACGTCTTGAGACAGTGCTGCACCCAGGAAATCAGGGAAGAGAGGACAGCGTCTTCAGATGGCTGCAGAGGACGCCACGGGGCAGAGGAGAACATTGGAGGGCTCCTCTACTCCTGGAGTTCTGTCGACTGTGTCTCCTCCAGTCAGAGTTCTTTCTCCTGGGTGAAGAAGCACTCATAGTTCCCTCCCTTGCTCGGAGGATATCCATCATGGCAGGTTTTCCCTGAAGGCAACCTAGACCCATGGGGTCTGCCTGACATTCTCCCAATTCATTTCCCTTTCAGTTGACTTCACTGTATCCCATTTTATTTCCAGGAAGTTTAGTAAACTTTCCCCGTGTGGTTAGCCCTGGGATCACAGAGAAGAATCATTGCCTCTTGCTCTCCTTAGGAAACACCTAGTCTGGGAGGAGGGGGTGACCCAGACGCAGACCCTTCCCTTCACTGTACTGAGCACTGGGAGCCCAGGGGCTGTGAGACCAGAGTCGCTCAGAGCAGCTGACCCAGCCTGGAGTTCTGGGGGTGCTGTTCAGGGGGGCTTCCCCACCCCCACACAACTTCTTAGAGGACTTCACTCACTGTCTAAAGTAGCAGCACCCTGGTGGCCCTCTGTTTCCTCATTGTCATTTTCTCTCTTGCTGTGTTCACCGCCTCAGTCACATGTTACATTTATTGGTTTATCTGTATTTGGGGGGGGTGGGGGTTGTTTTTCTGCTCTGCTAGAATTTCACCTCCTTGAGAACAAGAACTGTGTCTGTCTCATTCACTGCTATTTTCCCAGTGCCTAGATCGGTGTGAGGCACCTGGCAGATCTTTGATAAATAGCTTGTTTCCTAACCCTTCATGATGTCATAGGCAGATCCCAAACCTTGCAGTGGTTCAATAGTCCAGCTCCGCCCAATTTTAAAGCTTCAATTTCATATGCATTTTAACACTCCTCCCAGTTCCTTCTGGAACCAAGCTCTGACGTGGCCATGGCCTGAGGTACTTGCATTCTGGAAGGAGCAGGATTTGCTCTTTTACGTCTTCTCCTGCCCTCAGGTGTGTGAGCTCAGGGAGGAGGGATTGAGGGAAAAGAGCTCTGGTCTACTTACCTTCCTGGAGCTGTTGTCCTCTCTTGACTGTCCATATTTTTTCCACCGTGGGCATCCACGTGATGTCTCTCTCCTCCCAGTGGGGTCTGGGCATGAGCTTTGCTTTAAAAAACCTCCCAGGTGATTCTAATCCAGCAGAGCTGAGAGTCAGAGGGCTGGTGGAATGCACTTACCTTTTTATCAGAGCTCTTGTCTCTCTCCACCGGCCTTTATCCAGCACGAGACTGTAAGCACCTAGAAGAGAGGAACACATCTGATTCATCTTGTTAAATCTCGCGGGGCTCACTGTAGTGCTCAGTAGTTTAAATAACAATAATAGCTAACATTTATCGAATGCTCACTGTGTGCTATACACGGTTCTAAATTCTGTATATGGGTTATCCCCTTTACTCCCCCAAAACCTCTGAAAGGCAGATGCTATTTGTTACCCTCCTTTTCCAAATGAGCACACCGAGGCACAGACGGTAGGGAACACGCACGGGGTTGCACTAGTAGGAATGGGGGAGCAGGGAGTGCAGTCAGGGCCGGCTGGCTCCAGGGCCCGTGCTAATACTCTGTGGCTCTGCACAGTGGTGCAAAGTCAGAATTCCCCCACGTCATTATTGAAGGAAGATGAGTCGATGAATAGATGCAAATAAATAACTTTTTCTTAGGCAACACCTTAATCAGACCAAGTGGGGTATTTCTCAATTAGATTTATATCTTGTCCCACTTTCAAAATGGCTCATCTTTAAAACACTTGTTCAATTATTTTTATTTTAAATTTTATTTTTACACAGCTTCCCCTAAGCAAAAATATCCATAGTGCCAAAGGTTTGATACTAGAAATATGTTTCTAATGTACATTAAAAGAATAACCTCGTGTGTACACGTGTGTGTGTGTGTGTGTGTACCACCTAAAATAAAAAAACAAAATCACCTTGCCTGCAGGTATGCCAGCACTCACCTGTTATAGACAGAATTTCCCACCATCCTTCTTGTCAACCAACCTAACAACCTGCATCTGAATTATACCTTGGAATTATAAAAAGTTCAACTCACATTAGAAATAGTTCATATTAGAACCTGTTTTTTAGATTTTATTTATTTATTTTTTCCCTCCAAAGCCCCAGTAGATTGTTGTATGTCATAGCTGCACATCCTTCTGGTTGCTGAATGTGGGACGCGGCCTCAGCATGGCCGGAGAAGCGGTGCGTCCGTGCGCGCCCGGGATCCGAGCCCAGGCCGCCAGCAGCGGAGTGCGTGCACTTAACCGCTAAGCCACGGGGCCGGCCCAAGAACCTGTTTTTTAAAAGTGCATCTCTTCCAAAGCAAAACACTTTGTGCCTGGAATTAACTAGAAAACCTAACAAGCTTGTTAAGGCCCCAGCTTTATCTGCTTTTGGTTTTATGAAGTTCCAGCTCTTTATGAGGCATTTCACAAGAAGCACCTCTCCATTTACAAAGAGTCCTCGGGCTTAATGAAACTCTTGTGGAATACATGTATGATTATTGCCTTTTAAAATATTACCCAAATGTGTTTACGTATTTTCATAGCTGTTCCACAGAAGCCCCATTTGTAATGCAGACTCTTCCAGCCTGGGCTTTGGCATTAGACTGGTCTATGCATATAACCTCTGTGTCAAGTGAGCATGGAGAACAGGGGTATAGACACTCAGCAAAGGGAATACGTTACCACGGATGGTGTGACCTAGACAGACTTCAGTGGCAGAACGTAGACTCACGCCCAAGCCTGAAGAATGGATGGGTTTGAAGTGACCTGGCTTCTGAAGAGAGAAGATAGAAGGCAGAGAAGAGAGCATGATGTATACAAAGGTTCATGGAGAAGAATTTACACATTATCCACTCATCCCTTCAACAAGTGTTTCTCACAAATCTACTTGTTAGAACTCCCTATGAGGAAACAAAGGGTTTCCCTCCCATGTCCTCTAAGTAGAGGGGAGGGGAGATGATATGGAGATGAAGGCAGAACCCCAAGGCCTTGGGATGAAGGAAAGGACTACAGAGGAGTGGCAGACTCACTGAAGAGGGAAGAGGATGCTCAGAGCAGGAGGTAAGAGTTGGAGGGTCAGCTCTCCCTCACTCTACCCACCTCCGGACCAAGCTCCCCCGCCATAAATCCACAGCCGCCATGTACAGAGCTGCCTGCTCTGGATGTGTTTTATGTATCATCCGCCACCTCTACCAATGAACCAAACAGCTTTTCAGATCCAAAGACATACCTAGAGGACCTTCCTAGTGAAATCTTCCGTTTTTTTTTTTTTTCAAGAATATTTATAAAGTTATAAAATTTGCATACCTCTTTACCCAGAAATTTCACTTCTGAGAATTTACCCAAAGGAAATATAAATGCACTTGATTGATTAAAAATATGTGTAGGATGTCCATTTTAATATCGCTTATAACATGCTAGGTATAAAATCATAAACACCATAAATGCCCATCAATAAGTATATCAGACAACAAAAAATGTTACAACTGGATAGTGGAATACCACGTGAGATATAAAGAGGGATGCAGATCTAGCTGTACTGCAACAGGAAGATGTCTGTGCTCCTTTGTTATGTGAAAAAAGCGAGTCGATACAGATAGCACCATCCCATTTATATAAAATTTATTTACATCCATTCATCTATTAAGTAGTCAAATGATACATATTTATTGAATGCCTGCTGTGGGCATCCCTGTTCTAGATAATAGAGAAATAGCAGTGAGCAAAGTAGATGTACTCCTGTCTTTGTCGAGCCCACAGTCTAGCGGGGGTATGAGGAAAGGAGCAGATGTTGAGCAAGTAAGGAAAAAGGTTGGAATAGCTAAGATGGAAAAGGGCAAAGTACAATGATAGAGATGATAGCGAGGGGAGGAGAGATGACACTTAAGACTTGAAGAATGAATGGAAATTACCCACAGGCAGACAGAGGGGAAGAGTGTTCCCGACAGAAAGCCTTGAGCTTGGAAATAGCTTGTGGTATGTTTGAGAAACTCAGAGAAAGGTGGCCAGAGAGGATGGAGTGAAGGAGAGAGTGTTCCACAGAGGTTGGAAATGTAGACATGGGCCAGACCGTGTAAGACATTGAAGAACCCGTATCGGAGTTTGGACCTGATTCCAAGGGCCGTAGGAAGCCATGGAAAGGTGGTAAGGAGTGGGGGGATGGGCTTTGCTGAATAAATAATGGGTTGAAGTGGCCAAGAGCCCAAGCAGGGAGGGCAGGGGGCTATTGTAGTCATGAGGTGGAGAGATGACCCTGGCTCAGCTCAGGGTCATGGGAGTGGGAGAAGGGGAATGGAGGACAAGTTCAGAATGCATCCTACCCTCCAGGGTGAGTTAGAGGAGAAAATCAGTCCCTATGTCACGTTCTCTGCACCCATAAACTCCGGGGTCCTGACAATGGAATTATTATTTTTAAATATAAGTACTTTTTTTTAGTTGATATGATTCACCATTGTGGAGATTGTGGGAAATCTAATAGATACGTCTCTGGGGATCACGTACAAATCATTAGACTAGGAGACCACAAAGACGGAAAGTATTGGCATCATCCACAACGTCTTCGCAGAATTGGGAGAAAAGGGTTTTTGTTTGGAATGTAACTTGCACTGCTGTGTTTGTTACCCTCTGGCTCCAAACAATGTCTCTCCAGCTAACGGCAAACGCTGAATATGTTAGAGAGAGGGGGAGGGGAGGGAAGAGGAACTCGCATAAGCTCCTGATTGTTCTACACACCCGTGGGCAGAAGAAGTATGGCTGGAATTAGAGGGCAAGGGAGAAAGGGGTGCGAAGCAAAAATATTACTTTGAGTCCACATTCAACAAGTTGCAACTGTGAAAACTGTTTTGCTCCTAGGACGTAGTTGACGGCAAGGGAAAGGAAGGACAGGAAATCACAACAGTGAGTTACTCGGTCCCGGGGGACCCAGAAGAACTGGAGACTGCAAAGGAGGACCCCCAGACAACAAATATAACAGAGAATAATAATTCCATCATGAGCTTCTTTAAAACACTGGTAAGTAGTGTCCTTTCTTTTCTCCTCAACTCTATTGCTCAAAAGTTTTGTTAGTTCTACGAATAACGCCTATGTGAATGTTATTGTACTGAATGGGGTACCATCATGATGCAGCTTGAACATTGGAGAATGGGGACAAGATGCGTTTTATCAAGGCGTTGTGTTACCCCAGGCTTTCAATGAGGGAGCCTTCAGAGTTGGGAACCATGATACGAACAGTAGGTGCCCAAACTGTGGAATGAGCTGTTGTAACGGAACTCTATTGCAATTGGATGGTCATCAACCATAAAAATAATTGGAAAATACCTCCTCAAGTTGTTGACTGATCAAAGCAGTTTTGTCACTCAAATGGCAAATAAAACTGGAGAAATCACTTTCTATCTTGTTGCATCTAAATCTACCGTTTTAATTGGATGGAGGCAGAAACCCATGTCTTGAATTGCATGCTCATCTCTGATTCCTGAGGGCAGAGCCCACGGCCTGACACATGCTGGACACTCAACTAAGGGCTGACTGAATGAATGCATAATTAAGCAGACAGCTCCAAGTGTGTCTGGGCTATTTCCAAAGACCAAGACTAACTTCAAAAGATAAAACCAAAAAGTCAATAGAATGTACCACAAACACCAAAGGGTTGTGCATTTGTTTGAATTAGTGGCAGAACTGATGGAAAGTCTGTGGCCTTCCAGGTGACAATTCTGAATGTGGTCAAACTCTTGGTGACTGCATAAGATCTGATGCATTTTATTACAAAATTTTAATTTTTGTTAACTTTTTTATACTGAGGTATTACCCAGAAGTCCATGGGTTTCTACTGTACTAAAAAGACTTCTGATGACATTCTTAATCTGTATAGTGAACTGGACCACCCTAAAAAGCTATGTATCTATGAAATAAAATCACGCTAAAGAGCTATGATTTTTAACATTTTGTTTCCTCAAACTTTTAAGGTTTCACCTAACAAAGCTGAAACAAAGAAGGATCTGGAAGACACGGTAGGTAGTTTGAAGTGTTTTTACATTTGGGTTCGTGTATAGAATTGGATTTGGATTTGTGTCGGCTTCTTTGTTTCTTGAATTTTGTATGTGTATGTGTTTATACACATACACACATATACATATTTAGCAATTTAATAGTGCCATTAGATGGTCTTTAAAATGTTTCATTTACGTTAATGGTATTTCGATGAAAATTTTAGTGGGAGGCTTGAAATCTATGCCAATTCTGGCTAAATAATGTTGCCATAAGCAATTTCTTATATAGAATAAGAACAGAATGCTAATAATTTTATGTCATCTTAGTCTTTTTAGTTGTGTGTAGAGAGACCCAGGGAATATAGTAAAAAGTAGCCACTGGAAATGAGGAAGAAGTGAGACTCAATTTAAAGTAGAAGTGAGCTGCTATATTTTTGGCTTTTAGAAAATGTGTTCTTTGTTTTTCACGTAATTTGAAAAAAATAAATCTCCATGGCAAAGGCAATTGTTTGGTGACGTGAAAGCATCCCCAGGGGACATTTGCCAGATGAAGGAATGTGTGTAAGAGTGAGGGTGTCCTAGAAAGCCTAAATTTTTTCACTGTCAGCCTAGAAATTCAGCCAACTCCCCTCAAAATAAATTTTGTGTGGAACGACTACTTTCTAGAGATGTTTTCCCTTTACACTTGACAGAATTGATTCTCTCTAGAGGAACACATGGTTTAAATTTCACAGGAATCGCAAGGAAGTTTAACTTGGTGACAGATAAGTGTCTTGCGTCCTTCTTTTAAGAAGTGAAAGTGCTTTGAAAAGACACTGGGACCAAATGAATGGCTGGGCCAGCCCGATACATCTGCTTCCCATATTTGAAGGGGCTAAGTTGTGACAAGGATCCTAGAATTTGTCTCAGAAGACCTGTGTGTGAGCTCCGGTCCTGCTGCTTGATAGCTGTGTGATCCTTACCTGTCTGAACCCAAATCTTCACAACTGTAAAATTGGGACGATACAAATTCTATCTCCCCAACCCCAGGATTGAATGAAGGTGTGTCAATGCCTGGGAAACCATGGAGCTCTATTCAAATGTAGGTGATTTCTATTTTCATAATCACTGCAAGACAGATTGAACGCCATGATTACATTCGTATTGTATTGATTGGTTCCTCTGGAATTTTCTTCTTCCATTGAAAAAAATATACATCTAAGGCATCTACAAGTGTTTTCCTATAAAATTATTCATTTGCTACAAGGCAGCTAGGGTCAAGTTCAATGAATTGTTGGATCCAAATGTTTCTCTTTGGGTTCTGTGTCTGGCATTGTTTCAAGTCACGTAGTCAGCACAAAAGGTTATCAACAGTGGGGTACGTTGGTGTGTTGTGTGGCTTCCCAAGTGACCTGATGCACTCATTCTCTTTAGCTGCTCATGCACCAAGCCTCTTCCCCCACCTAGAATGTGGTCCCAACTGACTATCTCCAGCTGGTAAAATCTCATTGCCCTGCCCAGAGACCAGTGGGGTCACTGCTAGTGGAGCTGGCTCTCAAAGGAGGGTTTTGTGAATGTAGGCTGTCCATGACACCCACAAACAGACCTCTTTCTACAAACCTGGTTCTCACACCTTGCCTTTTAAACATCTTTTCTACTGAAGTTCTTAGATTCACACTTTTGAAATGTCTATAGGATTTGTCTGTCTTCACATTTGGCCCTGGGCGATTTTTAGCATGCTACACGCCCCACACAAAATCCCCTGCTATTTGTAACTCGAGTCAACAATTCTGAATGGTTGTAGCTGGGCTATTTCAGTTCCAATCTCCCCCCACTTTGTCTCAGTAGACTGGCTCATACTAGAAACTTCTTTTTCCTGGGAGATCTGCCTATCTAGAAGTCAGTTGAAATTTTTGTGGTTGGTGCTCCTTCCCTAAGGTTTCTAATATGAATAAAAGGAGATTGGCTTGAGAATGAGAGCCACTCAGCGGCAGTATTTGCCTTGACTCAGGATCCAAAAATAAATCGTTTGTCAGGTATTTTTTTCTTTCCTATGTGACAATAGCATTTATGTATTTAAAATTATCAAGTAGGGACTGTATTATCTTTTTGATTTTTAAAATTTTTCGTCTGGATACTTTGTCATATAGACAGAGTTTAAATATCCTGTCATTGTCTTTAGCAAATGGAGTTGTGTTAATCTGGTCATTTAAATAGGTCGCCCTGTTGAAAATCAATGTGTACCTGAAATGAACTGTGAACATGCTCTTTAGCAAATCATCTTGGGGAGTTTAAAAAAGATAAACATTCATATGATGTCTTGTGGTTGGGGGATGGGGGTTATACACCAGCAGTTAATTGTCAAAGTGTTTTAATGCACCTAAAAACAACAGAAAAAATGGATTTTGTTTAAAAACAAAGTTCTAAGCTGTGACTGCTGTTGCCCAAAAGGCATCCAAAACGGAAAATGTCTGTGACAGACAAGCTGGGCCGAAGACAGCCGAGGCCCAGGCTAAAGGCACCAAGAAAAAGCATCTGCATAGCCCCAGGCTAGGACTCACCTTCAGAAAATTCTTTAGGCATAAGGTCTGTATCTTGTTAAACTAGGAGGGAAAAAAAGAACCCTGGTCTTCACCATATCATACCAGTGCCATTCCATATCCACCCAGCTCCACTTCAGTGAAGACAGAGCCTTGAGTGGCTGGGATCATTAAAAGGAAATTAAAGATTATATGAATCAAATTTCAGTGATTTTTAAAAAGTCTCCATAGTGGGGCTGGCCTGGTGGCATAGTGGTTAAGTTCCCATGCTCTGCTTCGGCAGCCCGGGGTTCACAGGTTCAGATCCCGGGTGTGGACCTACACACCACTCATCAAGATATGCAGTGGCAGTCATCCCACATGTAAAGTAGAGGAAGATGGGCACAGATGTTGGCCCAGAGACAATCTTCTGCAGCAAAAAAAAAAAAAAAGAAATTCTCCATAGTTGTAAACATCTTAGACTAGTTTCTTCCTCGTGTGGACCAGGGTTCTGAAATTATTCTTCTAACCCAGTGTTTCCCAAATGTTGAAAGTATGCATGCCAACTTTCATCATTTTTGTCAGATATATGATTATTTACATGATATTTTTATATTGAAATTGACTCATTTCCTACTTAAAGATATCTTTAAAAGAAACTTTATAATTACATCATACATGGAAAACCGGGATAATTTTTCATAAGAGGAAGGTAACTATTACTATGGCTAATAAAAAAAGGTATTCCATTCTAGCTAGCTCGTTTTTGTTACGCTCTGAATCTGCTGCCCTTTCTAGCTTTATTAAAAGGCAATTAACCAGCAGTAGGGAAATGTTCAAGACGCACCAGCACCACCCTGAGATTTTCTCCTGAATGTTCTTAGAAAGATTAAATGAGAATTGAAAAAGGAAAAGCACCTTCACTATTTTAATGTTATTTAATATCCAATCTCTGCACAACCTAAATTTACCTCTGCTACCACCAATGGTACACTTTCTATATTTTGGGAAATACTTTTCTAACCTCCAGATAACAATTTTATCTTTCTGTGGTCTGTTGCATCCATCCCCAGGATTAACTAAACTCATACTGAACCCAAATAAAAGCCCAGGCAGAACCAAACAATGAATGAAGGCAGAGCAAATTCTATCTCCGTAGGGACAGTGAGGACATACAGATGTCAGTTTTGCAGATTTCACTCTTCCAGCGTCTAAAAAGATGCAGTGTTTGTCTGAAACCATCAATTAAAAGGATCCCTGAATTGGGCCAGCATGCTTGGAAATTTGTTTAAAATATCAACCATTCTCCACTAAGTTGAACGAACTTATTAAAAAACTTCCCCAACTGGATGTTATAGTCCCAGAATTGTGTATGCAAATAAAAGCTCCAAAGAAAGTTCTCATGGCAGAATCTATATTTGCATAAGCAAACTATGTTATGAAGCCAGCCTTCAATTTCCATACAGGCTCGTTTTTTGGTAAAGAGAGAAGAGGTTGGAGTGATAGATATTGCAATGGGGGAGGGGAAGTTAAAAAGTGGTACTACTGTATGTTGGAGACAATTTGGTAAGTGCTAGAGAAACATGTCCTAGATCTCCTACAAAGCAATCTAGCTGAAGTCCCAAATGGAGCTTCTGTGAACAGGGGGCCTTGAAAGTTTAAGTGTATGACCACCCCGCAACCAGATCTGCATTTCATTATGACTTCATTTCATGCACTGCAAAGTTTGATGTTTCCAGAATCTCTTCTCTCCCATAAGTGGACCACCCAAGTTCAATATTCCTAGGGCTTCCCCAAATCATTGGGCTCACGTCCTGCCAGTGAGTTGCATTTTGGGGTAGAATAGGATTCTGGAAATACTGGGAAGATGGAGAGGAAGTGTCCCTTTCTGGGATTCTGTAATACAGACACAGGACTTTAGGGTCTTGCCTTGAGTTACATTCAGTCTATTTTTTACGTAAAAGTAAAGTAAGTGGACAATTCCCAAACAGTCTTAATTCTCATTTATGCAGCAGTTTGGTAGATCTCGTTGGCGTTTACCTCCATGCCTGGGATAATTTATGTCTTTTCCCCATTTGATTTTTCTGTCATCCAAAAAGATAGGAAAATAGGGCCATTAACAGTGACCAGCCAGATTGTGTCAGTGAACCTCGTTGTGTGAGTATAGAAGGTGTGATACTCATCCTCCTTGATTTCATTGTCACCCAGGACAGAAAAGGAGAAATTCAAGCCAATTCAAGTATAAAACAGCATCTTCTAGTTTTTCTTTAAAAAAAAATACAATGGTTACCAATTCTGGTTAATTCCTAGGTTCATTTCTCTATATCTCAATTTTTCTTCCTATAAAATGAATTTTCTTAGTTTAAAAAAGTAGAGAAGCTTGGAATTAATAAATGAAATAAATTTACTGTTATAAATAATAAGGGTGTCGGCTTTCCTTTGCTGAATTTGAATCTTTTTTTCTTGGCTTAATTACATGCAATGCCTCAGCATCAAGCTTTTTCACACGTCCTTCAGACATTGGACATGACAACATGCACACAAGACAAGGCATTGTTTTAGAATGTTTTTGCCATGCCCAGAAATGCCCCTCTCCCCACTCAGATTTTCCTGATGCCTACCCTCTCTGTAAGGCAGCTACAATGTTAGCAGCTGGCTCGTGTGATTCATAAGCTCTGCCACACATTCACTGTTTTTTGGTTCTTGGTGTAATGTTTACATCTTACTAACACTTCCCTTCACCCACACCCAACTGTGAAAACCAGATGAAAACTTACATGGAAGAAGGTAAGGAATGTCATTTGATATGTGATCTCCAAATCTAATACATTAGAATACATTTCATAGGTACAGTTGCCCGACAAAATACAGGCACCCAGTTAAATTCAAATTTCAGATAAACAGCAAATAATTTTTAGTATAAATATAAGTATGTCCCAGGTAATATTTAGGTCCTACTTAGGCTAAAGAATTATTCTTTGTTGATCTGAACTTCCAATTGAACAGGGCATCCTGTATTCTCATCGTTGTTTGCTAAATCTGGCAACCCTATCCATGAGATTGACTCCAAAAGACACGGATAGAATTTTTGTAGTCTCCTGCATAATGCAGACAAGAGTATAAATTCAATTGATGCTGGCAGAACACCATTTGGGGCACTTCTTTGGGAAATGAGGAGATGGGTGGGCAGGGAGAGAAGAGACTAATGGTGGCCTATGACTCCATGGCCCAGTAAGGATGGGTAGATGGAAATATGACATGGCAGGATCCTGTGTGGGTCTGCCTCTCCGGTCCCTTTGATACAATTATTTAGTTAGTTAGTTAATGCCTATTTAGTACCAGACTAATTGGAGCTAGTGCCACACTGATGGGAGCTAGGGCTATAATGATGACCAAGACATAATAGCTCCTACCCTCAAGGATCCCATAGTCTGGCCAGGGAGATGCATAGTCAACAAACAATTATGCAAATATATTAGAGTTATATTACTATACATATAATAGAGTTACGTCCTTGTAATGTTTTTCAAGAGTCTCTGGGTATTTTCCTAGGGCAAAGAGAAGAGAATTGTTGAGTGTAGAAACTGCTGAGTGTAGATGTGTTTCTCAACCTTTTTCTCATTATCGCCTCCCCATCATGAAGCTTTTTTAGATATTTTCTCCCTAATTGCCCTTTCCATCATGACATTTTAATACAACAGATATATTGTATATCTGTTTATGTGCTGTGGCCCTTTGGAGGGCCATAGATGATGTTAATATCTAATTATTTTTCATAACATCCCCCCCCAAGAACGAGGGCAATGTCACCTCCCAACTCTCCTCCCATTGGAGATAATCTTGCTCTTGTTGCGAATGTGTAGTGTAGATGGTTCCATCCCTTGATGGGTAGACTAGCACAGGGAGTGGGGAGACCTTGGTTCGTTGGAGGCCGTGTGGTATAGAGTAGCTATTAAGAGTTTGGGTTTGGGTATCGGACTCCCTGGATTTTGATATCAACTCTGTCCCCTTATTAATGTGATCATGGGGAAGTTTTTTAACCACCTGGGACCAAAATTTCCCTAACTGTAAAATGAACGTGACAATTAGTTCCTTCCTCATAGGACTGTTAGAATATTCAGTCGCCTAGAACAGTGCCTGGCACTGTACCTTTTATTGTTATTATTAAATCAAAGCGAAAAGTTGGAAATTGTGTCTTGAAGAGGTGACTATGGTCCAGGAGAGGGGAGGCTGAGGGGGACAAAATGAAGTGGTAAAACCACCCAAGCCAGAGGCCTGTGATGATTAAGTAAACTGGACCTGGACCTGGCCCAGAGAAATTCTAGAACTCCAGAACCTGGGGGGCTTTTTTTGCAACCCCCCACGTGGCTTTGGCTGAGTAGTCTGAGCACATATGAAGGGGCAGCCGTGAGCTGGACAGAAACTCAGCATCTAGACTGTAAAAAGCTGAGCAACAGACTTTAAATCAAAACAGCATGTGGTCGTCAAGCATTTGAGCATCTGCTGTAATGACATTAACAGGATTAATGACTGACTTAAACCAGCCCCTTTCTTAGAAATGGAAAGGAGTCCAGCCCCAATCCCCCAGATTCTTGGTCCAAAACGGACCCCTGAGCAAATGGGGATTCTCCCAGGAAATCAGCAGGGGAGGTTGATGTTGGGAAGTGACCAAGCTTGGCCACTCCTTGCTCTTTCTGCCTCCCTCCCACTCCTCAGATCCTTGTCAACAGTGTCAGAGCATGCTGTTCCCTGTGCATGGAGCACCCTTCCTCCCTTCTCTAGTTAATTTCCAGTCACCCTTAGGTCATTTCCAATCACCCATCATCCCTTCCCTGGTTATCGTGACTGGATCTACTTCTCTGGTTTAGCTTTTTCTTTTTAGGCACCAAATCCTGCCCGGCCCCATGCCATAGCACTTATCACAGTTGAAGTTTTACATTTTTTTGTGAAATTATTTGCTTAGCATCTTTCTTTGCGTGAGGACATGTAACCCCAGCACTTAATACTCATCATAGCTCATAGAAGGTACTCAGTGCCTTTTTTGTGAATAAATGAATAAATAATGCTTTCTCATATTTTCTGAAAAAGAAAGCAAGCCACTTGGTGGAGGGCACTTCCTCTTTAATTTAATTACTACTTAGAGCTAAAACAGCACAAGGTGCCCAAGACCATTTGGACACATATAAATACAGGATCTTATAAGCTCAGCCATTTTGATTTCACTGTCTATAAAATAAATAGTTTATTTTAAATCCTGGTGTTATGCAGTTTTGAACACTTTTAGATGGAACTGGGGTTATTTCAGGATCAATTATCATAAAAGTAATTTCTATACTTTGGCCCTTTGTCTCCTGATTCAAACTTAGAATCTGCTCAATAAATGACTCCCTCTTAGTATCAGAAAAGTCAGCACAGAAGATGTTCTGTCTTGCGTCAAAGAGTAAAATTCACGTTATTTGCAAACGCCCTTTGGAGAGGCAACGTGCTGCGTGGAAAGAGCACGAGGTCAGAGCCAGAAGTCCAGATCTGAGGCCAGGTTATGCCCCTTTTTTAATGTTGGGCAGATCATGGGCCTCAGTTTCCCCTTCTGTGAAAATTCGTGCATTGGACTAGATGGTCTCTAAGCCTCTTTCCAACATCAAAAATACTATCAAACTTCTTGAATTTTTCCACACCCCATTTTTACTGCTAGATTTTTTTTTTTCCTTTTAGTCAGAGAATGTGGTCAAAGATGGGACATTCCTGGAATTTAAGGGTTTGTGTCACAAGTCCCTGGTACAAAAATCATAAAACAGTGATGCTTAAGATGATGAGGTTAGGTCAGCTGAACCTAGTGTTAAAATTTTTAATGCAATAGTCACTCATGTCGAGAAAGATTGAGACTATAATTCTTCTAACTCTTCCTTTATCCCAAGATTCAGGAGGTGGCACAGCATGGGAAGTAACAGCCTAGTCACTGAGGACTGGATCTCAGTATAGCCACTCAGAGAGGGGAGAGAGAGAGAAGATGGAAGAGAGGGAAAGGGAGGGGAGAGGAAAAGAGAGCGAAAAAGAGAGGGAGAGAGAAGGGGGACGGAGGAGGGAGAGAAAAGGAGGGAAAGAGAGGAGAATAAGGACCAAATGAATAACATTTGAAATTTTAAATCAATTACAATCTATTCAATTACATCTAATTTAGATGTGGAGCCTACATCTAAAAGGGAAGAAATGGGTTTTCTAGATGCCCTTCCAACCCAAGACCCATTTGCTGAATTTCAGTCTAGGTGCCTTACACATACTTTATAGCCTAGACCAGTGATCCCCAGAGTGGAGTATGGGAGGAAAATTTCAGAACTTTTATTTTCAATTATAGCTATTTTAATTTCTAATTTGGATTAGTAAAATAATTCATGTTTATAATACACACAAATATGCATGTATTGGAGGTGCATATTCAAAATGCTTTTACTGATGGGAACATGATCAAAACCATTTGAAGACCAATGGCCTCGATATGAACTAACATTCTAACAGCAAAGTGCCTCTTATGATCACCTTGACTCCTAATAAGTTACTTGCATGAACATGATAAATAACGGTTTCTATATATGTTTTTTCCAAAAGGAAAGTATCTTGATTTTTTCTAAGATTTACATGAATTCACATCCACATAGAATATTTGGAAAATACAGAAAATTATGAAGAAAATTAACATGCATAACCCCAGCCTGTGTTTGTGAAAACTGGATCTTTCACTTTTGAGATCTTGAGATCATTTTGAATTTTTTTAACGCTCTAGGGTGCGGAAAAGTCACCCACTACTTCAGCCGACCTCAAGTCAGACAAAGCCAACTTTGTACCCCAGGAGACCCAAGGGGCAGCCAAGAATTCTCCCTCCACTGAAACAGCAAAGGAAGGTGCCAAGGAAAAGGGGGGACCCACCTCTCTGCCTCTGGGCAAACTGTTCTGGAAAAAGGTAAGTCCTATTTTCCAGATTTGAAGAGTATTTGAAGCAAGGATGTCTTGAGAAATTATTTCTATTGGGCCGATCGACATACTCAACAACGTATGGAGTTTCTTTTTCTTCTCCAAAATGACACAAATAGCTATTGAGTTGAAGACTTCTAATTTCCTCCTGGGAAGAATGAAATGCCTATCATGTTATAAACATGTGTTTCATGGAAAAGAAAAGGAAATGAACAAGTAGAATTTTTCATTCTTGAAATGACTCTGGTTCATGACAGAGAATTGTGGTATTTCATGATTTCATTTTCTTTCCAAAATGGTTTATTACTCTGGCTTCCTCCTGGTTTCCTCTGAGGGTGCTGACCCTGGTGAGATGGACCACCACTGGGCTGGCTCTCTCTCTTTCCCCAGTCAGTTATAATCAGTCGTTATGAGCCATTAGGTCTTACTCTCCTTTTGGAAAACGTGCCCACCAGTTTACCACCAGGGCAGGCACACAATGTGCTCTCTGATAGGAAAATGCAAACCACAGTCTGATTTTTTTCCCTTCTAGAATCAAGGAGCCGTGCGAAAAATGGAGTGGGTGGGGCTGAGTAATTCTGAGAGCTATTCCTTGATCATCATTGCTGAGCAAACCCCAGCTGCCACACATGTTCAGAACTCTTGCCTGTTTTAAATGTGGCCGAAAGATGAGCAAGAAGTCAGGGGTGAGAGGGTGGGGTGTAATTCACTGAGCTGGAAAAATCTAATTTAGTAACTTCATCAAAACATCCATGCCACTTGGCATACATTGAGCAAGCAGGTGATAAATACAGACGCCACTGTGGTGTTAATTCTATTCTCTGGTCTAGAATCCAGCTGGATTTCTGAAACTCTTTCCTGTCTATTTCCTGTTGTACAGAAATCTTCCTTCTAGCTTCTGCCCGGAACACAAACTCTAGTAGTTAATGAAAACTGTGGATGATGTCATTTGGCGTTCTGTTCTAATCCTCCTTCCTCAACAACCATCAATTACTCATTTCTAAAAATCTTTTATCAGCAATATAATGTAGAGAACAGTTTTCAAATGAGTTACATGTGTATATTGGTGGCAAGAGAGATGAGTTAAGTGACTCATAGTCAAACATTTTTATTTAAATAATCATATATATACACATATATATAAATTGAGTGTATTAGGAAAAATAGAACTAGCACATTAAACTCAATTTAACATATATTTTGCTCAAGGTGAGACTATATGTATTTAGTTTAAAAAGTAACCCAATTAGGGGCTGGCCCGGTGGCATAGCGGTTAAGTTCACATGCTCCACTTCCGTGGCCCGGGGTTCGCAGGTTTGGTTCCCAGGCTCGGACCAACGCACTGCTTGTCAAGCCATGCTGTGGCAGCATCCCATATAAAGTAGAGGAAGATGGGCATGGATGTTAGCCCAGGGCCAGTCTTCCTCAGCAAAAAGAGGAGGATTGGCAATGGATGTTAGCTCAGGGCTGATATTCCTTACAGGAAAAAAAAAAAAAAAATAACCCAATTAAAAGAAAAGTGTTACGTGAATAATGGTACTGATATTAAGTAAATAATAGTAAATCTGGGTCCTCCGAGAAGCAGACACCGAGGCAGAATTGATGAGTAAGAGATTAATTGAAGGAAAACAACTGTGAAGGACAAAAAGGAGAGGGCAGGGGAAGGTAGAGAGAGCCTGCAGACCACACTGAGGGTCTGACACCTGTGACAGGAGAGAGGGAAGGAAGGAGGAGAAGGTGGGAAGAGCCTCAGATTGAGGTTGGTGCTGAACCAGTGGGGAATCCCAGAGCAGAGATTGCCACACGGGGAGTCCTGCATCAGGCAGGAGAGGCCCAGTACCCTGCTGTGCTCAGTCATTGCCTGGGAGCAGCCAGGGAGAGCATAGCCTCAGCATTAACACTGTAAAGGATGCTGACAGCATGACGGTCAGAGGCTGTCCCTCATGCAGGGAATCTGAGCAGCACACTTCCGTGGCTGCCACAGATGGTGCATACGATGTGGCAAAAACCAGATAGGAGGCCGGCAAATGATAGAAGTTGGAGGAACACATCCGTAAGGGTTGGCGTCAGGCAGATCTGACTTTGAGTCCCAGTCCACCTCGATGAGCCTCGGTTGCCTAATTTATAAAATACAAATAATAACAGCACCTATGTCATGGAAATGAAGTGAAGATTAACTGAAAAGATGCTGGTAAAACCCTGACACCATGTCTAGCATAGAAGTGGCCAATGAACAGTCGCTGTCACCTATGTCATTTATTTCCTGTGCACTCAAGAAGGCTGAGGCACTAACCATGCCCACCTCTTTATCTTTCTGTAGCGTCCAGTTTGGGAACACTTCTAAGCTACTAAGCCTTGAGTACTTTATCTTTCCTTCTTTGGGATCTGTAAGGGGTATGTTAGTTCCTCTTGAAAATCAAGCTATTCCCATTGAAAATAAAAGGCAGGACCACTTGACATTCACCTCTCTGTGACAGAATTTCAGTTAGTTCAGTCTCACTGTTTTTTCGTGATTATCTGGCTTTATTCCTTTAATTGATTATAAAAACAATAAAGTTAAGAGAAACTAAAAACCAAATCACTTGTAAATCTTGTCTTTCCTTCTTTCACCCAATCAGAAAGAATAGCTCTATATGGAAGTAAAATAGGGAAGATCCACTCAGTCAACAGTATTTTTAATCACTTTCTTTGTGCTGAGTTTTTTTGTGCTAAGTACTTCGTGTTAAGTACCAGGCAGTGAACAGATGGCTGTCCTCTTGTAGCTTACATTCTCACGGGGGACGTACGTTCTAGTACGAAACAAAATGAAGACCTTTGTTTTCGTTTCTTTAAATTAGAATAAGCTTTGTGTATAAAATCATCCTTATAAAAATTTTGAAAAACAAACAAGAAGAAACAGTAGAAAATTATATTTCCACTAACTAACTCCAAGTTCTCCTTCCCATCTTTTGATTGAGAAGCTTTTCAGCAAACTAATTTTGAAGTTTATAAGTCTGCAATTATGAACATCAGAAATGAATTTTTCCCCAACAGACAATGGATATAAAATTATAAGTTATTTTGATTTATAATCTTGATTGCTGAAGTAGTTCTTATTATAAAATAAAAATAACCTTTGAGAAACTTAATTTCGAATTATATTACTTGCCAAAAAATGTTTAAAATCCAGTTACCTGGACTAAATATGCTCTTTCTTGTTCTGGGTTAATTGGGATACCATTTGTTCTGGAACCTTAGAAAGTTACCTACCCTGTTTGGGTTTCTTTTTCCTCATCTGTTGAATGAAAGACTTGGAACAGATGATCTTGAAAAATCTTGTCTATAGCCAGTCTTGCATAACAACCAGAGTCGGGAAGATTGGGCTGTGTGACCTTGGACAATTTACTGGACCACTCAGAGCCCCTATTTTCTTTCCTGTAAAATGGGGACAGTGTTTATCACACAGCGTTGTTATAAGAGTCCAATAATTGTACATAGAGAGCACCTGAGACATAGTAAGTGCTCAGTGAACAGTGTTATCATCATTTCTTCAAGTATGAACAATCAGAGGTCATGACCTGAATATCTATGTGTGGTTTCTGGTGCCAACAGTAAGCATCCTGCGTACAAAACAAGTGTATGACTCATTTGCTACCATCGAAAGACTTGAAATCCATGTGGAGGAACGAGATACACATGCATGCACATGCATGTGTGTATGAGTGTGTGCACGCACAAAATTAGCAAATGATACATTTGGACTATCTTCGGACTAGCTCTTTTCCTGCTCTCCTTTGGGGGAGACAGATGATGGAGTGGAAAAATAATGTGAGCTCTGAAGCCAAAGAGACACATAATGAAATCTCAGCTCTGACAGTTACTGGCTGTTTGAATTTGAGCGGATGACTTCAACCCTCCAAGCCTCACGTTCCTCTGCTCTGAAAGTAGGCAGTGATGCCTACCTTCCGTGATTATTGGGAGGACTGAGTCAGAAAATGAATGCAAAGTAACTGGCTTTCAGTGAGTGATAGCCCCATTCCAAACAATGAAGTTGGGAACCCGGTGTTAATCTGTGGAGTACGAGTTACAAACTATGGGTGTTTAGAAAAGGCAGCAGTCCGTGTAGGTCAAAATAGACTAAGAGAACTTAAAAATGCCTCTGAATCATCTGGGTTTTTTGTTTCAAATACAAAATCCTGTATTCAATCCCAGAATCCACAGGGATCCTGGTTAAGAGAGCCTGGCATATGGTGAACAATTACAGAAACACTGGAAAGATGGACTGAAATATCTAGACTCGATAGAAGAGGTCTTGGGGCTACTGTGAAATAAATGAAGTCAGAACAGCTGTCACATGATCAAATGATGCTTCCAGAAGACCTGCTAAGAACAGGAGGGGTGTCTGTTGACTTAAGTGCTACCATGTGACAGTTTTTTAAAGAAATATTCTTTTAAGAATTGAATGTGCTCTTCAAAGGAGAGGAACCCTTGTTATTCAAGTTTAAACTGATAGATTTATGTGCTGTTTAGATCCTTATTCTCAGCAATATTAATCTCCAAACAGGATTCTTTAGATTTCGAACTGGATTTTTGTTATTGTTGTTGTTGTTAATGAGGCTGGACAATTTTTAGACTCACCAGATAATAGCCAGATGTCCAGTTCATTGAAGAAGATTGGAAGTGTTTCTGGTTTTGAGATTTGAATGAAAATCCCATGCTTTGTGTGTTTCCTGATTTGCCCCCAAGCTAATTTTGTTCCTCTGACCGGAGAGTTTGAGACCCTAATAAACGCCTTTTGGTCTGCAGAAACCGAACTTGCACTTTTAAATCGTTCTCTTTCATTGACTTTGAAGTGAGTCACTTCGTCAGCAGCACCGTCCAATTTTCTTCTTGTCTCTGAGATTCCCTTCCGGAACACATTCCTGGTGTGGAAGAGTGATCTTTCCTCCACTTCAGAGGTTATCCATCACAACATAGTCCTTGGCAGTGGAAAATAATGAATTGGAATCTGATACTGCTGGTTCCTCAGCTCATAGGCTTTCTGCTGTGTGGAAAACATAAGGAGAAAAGGAAGAAGTTGCCTGAGGCCTTCATTTGTCATTGTGTGCTGCACATGGAAACCACGCTGGGGACAAACACACATTAAATGTGAGGTCCAGGCTTGGCTCAAAGAACTGGTTCGATAGGGATACTGTAGTATATCAGTCAGCTCTGGAGGAGAATCTCAAACCTTTTCAAAGGGAGCTATGGTTTTGGGGTAGGAGCAAAGTTTAACAGCTGTTGGAGCAGAGGCCTAGAAATTAAGGGAGATCTGCTTCCGTTTTGAAGACCAACATGGAATACTAATGTAAAACACGTAACCCACTGCCTCACATATAGCCCAATAATGTGGGTTGTTAACATTGTGATTATCTTTGTTAGTATTACTATTTTTTTTTCATTTCTTTAGAGTTGCATCTGATGCATGTTCACGAGATGGAGAGACGCAAGCCAACAAAGAATATTTATTAACAGATCAAAACCACATGCAAGAAGCTTTCTTTGGGAAGGCTTCTGGAATCTGCCCTCAGCCCTGTTTATTCAGTTTCTGTCTGTAACTTGGTCCATGACCTGTGAAGCACACTTACCAAGTTTACAAGCTGGGTGGGCTCATTAATGCAGTCCAAAATATGAACAATAAAGATCTCAAAATATCAGCACAGTGGGTTGAAGTTAGCATGAGCTAGAATTTTTGTTTTACAAATGTCAGTGTGCCACTGTGCTATAGGGAACATATCATCGAGATTTTAACTGAGACCCTTGTCATCCCCTATCCCATTCCAATTCTGGAACCTAACATAACCAAAGAGCAGTGTTAAAAATGTCTGCTCATAAGGCATTCAGGAGCAAACATGTATCTGCCCCGAGCAGACTTAAGGAAATTTCAAAAACACCACGGAATTAGTCAAGAAAAGTCTCAAATAGGTCTAATAGGCCTAGCTTATGCCACTTCTCCTCAGTGTTCATAAAAATTGCTACCATTACTTGAACACACACTATATGCAGTGCCTTTGCTAAGTGATTTACATATGTAAAATAAATACCAGCGATTCTCGTAGACTGATGGACATAAATAAATCTACACCCCTGCTCATCCCACCCAAATAGTTCTAGGAATCCAAGAAAGGTGATCATGAATCAGTCGGGGCTGCCATGTGTCTCTACTGGCTGACCACTCCCGAGCCACACTACTGCCACCAGAGCCACCAATGAGAAGATCCATGCCAATTCGCCTGACCTGTCCCTGCTGTTGCTCCTCACAAGCCTGCCACAGTTCACCTGCCACTTGCAAAGCAGTGGGGAGAAAACTGTCTCTCTGTGTTATGCTCAGCTCCGGGAAGAGAAGCCCACTGCAGCTGCTTGGGCCACAGAGTGACACTATTTAACAAGATCCGTCCGCAGCATCCACACAGCCCTCTTCTCCCCAGCACACACTCAGCTCAAGGGGAGCTGAGCTGAGCCAAATTGCTGTACCAGCCACCAGCACGCTGCCCAGAACCTGGCCCTGCGGGTAGCTGGTTCCCCTGGAGTCCTTATCTCCACGGGCGAAGTCTCTTTCTGGTGTCCATTGCTTGAAATCTTTATTTCTGCTCCACCACATACACTCTGATTTCTGGAAGAGACTATAGGGGACTGAACCCTAATTATAGACATGGTTCAAGTTGTTCCTCCCCACCATAAACACACCTTCCAGTGTCTCCAACTCCCATGTACACAAAGGTCTTCATATACGTACCAAGAGGAGCTGTGTGGCTTGACCCCAGCCACCCAACATAGGTGAGTCTCGGCTCTGCTTCAGCCGTGACTTTCCCTTCACGTGCTTTATTTTGTCTAGTCCTTAGAACAACCCTATGATTGACAGTCTAATAGCCAACCTTTGGGTAAGGGAACTGAGGCTCAGAGAGGTGTGATTAACTTGCCCAAGGTTGTACAACTAAAACAGTAAGTTTGAACCTGACTCCACAGTCCAAGATGCTCTAGACTTGGGTTCTGAGCAGGTTTTCTTTTACGTGTGCCAAATACCAAAGAGGAACAGGAACCTCGCCTCTCATTACCCATTTTTGGGTCCTTATACTAACAGGATATTTCAGCCACTGCTGACGTCAAGGCTACACTCATAGGCCAGTGTGCAAATGTACAAAAATGTGCAAAATGATTTCCAATGGTCCTTGGGCACAGCCCTAAAAATGTGATCAGTCACCTAGTATGCAGTTATCTCCTTTTCCACTCTACTCCAATTCCTCTGGTAACATTAAGAAGAAAGTCTCTTCTTGATATTAACAGGCATTTCTCACTGTACTAACACTTGCTGATCTCCCTTCTTAACAAAGACTTAAAAATAATTAGAATTTAATAAGCGTTTTTGTTTTATGCATTGCAGTTGTTTGAATACATACTTCTATTTACAGCAAGGACATTGATATTGCATTCACTATAATGATAAGATGTTTTCTTTTAAAATATATTTATTTAAGTAAAAACGTAAGTCAACTTAAAGAATAATATCAGGTAAATTCAGGTGGTACATGGGCAGGTTAAGAATTGTGCAAATGGTATGCAAACAGTTGAAGTTTAAGAAGTGCTCAACTGGACAAATTCCCAAAATAAGGAATGTTGTGCTGGATAGTGTAACTTTAAAATATGAAATAGCAATTTGTCTTGGAACAGACAATATTTATAATGCCAATTTTTGAAACCTCAGAAAGATCTGGAAGTCTGAAATCATAATGAAGATGATGGAAACATCAGTGTCCAGAAGTAGGTCTTTCTGCTCCTAATCAGCACCTGCATCAAGTTCCCAGCTTCCTCTGAAATACAGTGAGCGATCAATGGCTGAGAACTTTCTAGACACAGGAAACCAAAGACACAAACTCATCTCATTACAACCAACTGGGACAGGAAAGAGGGTTTGAAAAACTAAAACCAGTGTTCTTAAATAGTGGGAGGGTTCTCTCAGCCTAACATAGACAGTATATTGACTCTTGAAACTCTTGCGCGTCAGCTTTGAAAAGGTCTGGCTTTTAAAATATCTTTTAATTCTTTACCTGTTCATAATATTAAATAGCATCCAACTGGTCTCAGGGAGAAGGGGTGTAATTCCAAGAAAGCTACACTACCTGCAATTCCTTCTAAATGTTCTATAATTTCCTGACAATCAGAAGCTTCCAGAGAAGCCACAATCCTTTTTAAAGACATGTTTGTGCCCAGGTAAGCTTCAATATGAGAAGTAGATAAGTAGAAATAAATGTCCTAGCTGAAGATCTCATCTAGAAAGAAAGCAAGTCTGGTATTGGAGAAAGGAGCTCACACAGTCACCAAAAAAGTGCGTTTCTCATCCTTGAAGTCATCATGGCAGGGGGAAAACTTAGCTCTTAGAACCATTTCCATCATTTTCTAGCTGTACCACCTTGAACAAGTGACTTCACCTCTCTTTACTGCATTTCTGGCTGTGTAAATGAAGATCGCCATCCTCACCACTTGGGGCTACTTTAAGTGAAATAATGTATACAAAGCACCAAGTGCAGAAGATGTATTTGTAAATGTCAGTTCCCTTCTTCCCCTCCCACTGGATGTTTTAAAGGCAAAAACAAAGGCAAGACTGGGAACAAAATAGATATAGGGATGAGTTCTTAACCTGGAATCCAAGAGAAGAGATGCAAGGGTCTATGAAACACCCTGAAATCATTTGCAAAATACGTTGTTCATGTTTATTTTTCTGGGAAGAGAGTCCAGATCTGTCAAGTGAATCTCAAAGTGGTCTGTAAACACTACCACCACTCCAAAAAAGTTTAATAAGGACTGCAGGAAAAATGCAAAGATGACCTCTGAAGTGGAGCTTGGCAAATTGACGTGATGGTTGTGGCATTGACCTGTGATAGAATCGGGATAACTGCTTTCCTGTTTGGGGCAGGACTGTGTATGCCAGAATTACTGCTGGGACTAACAGTGTCTGAGGTTGGATGTGTTGGACTCCAGCTCTCTGGCCCTCCATAGAAGTGTTTTAACTGAATTGATGAAATTGGCCCATATTGAGGGCTGACGTAAGAAGCAGCTTCTGATGCTGGCTACTGTGCTATGTCAGAATAAGGCTGAGAACCCTGCTTATTACATAGTGCCTGCTTACATTGTGGGGACCATGGGATGAGTTTCTCTGGACTTACTTTCCTGAGCAGCTCTCTTGTTTCTACCTAACAGTGACTGGGTGTTGCATGATTGATCATAGTTCCTTCTTCATCAGCTGTGAGAAAATGTCAAGGCAAATGTGTTCTTTACCCACAGCCAAGACTGTGGTTTGTGTTTTCTGTAGCAACCCCTGTCCTCACTCCATTTGTGTCCTGACTGCATCTGTGTGTTTATTTTCCCTTTGTTGCGTTTGAAAATACATAATTTATATTATCTTGCTGTACTGTTTACATCTGCGTAAGCCTCCTTCAAGTTCTTTTAGGAACCAGGTATAAATAAGCAATTTGATGACCAAGAATTGCACCAGAGGGCTGTTAGCCCAACTAACCCCTCATTTTTTGGTAACATCCTGACTCTTACCTTTGTTTTTATCTTCCCTTTAGTCAGTTAAAGAGGATTCAGTCCCCACAGGTGCAGAGGAGAATGTAAGTTACGCATGAAATGACAGAATCATTCCATTCTCAACATCCGCATGTTGGGCCACTGGGCGTTTCGGCTCTGCAGTCCTGTGTTCTTGCATGCTCCAAGTGTTGTGCATCTGCTGGAGACTCTTTCACCCTTTTCTGTGATTAGGGACCACTGGGGAATAACTTTGGATAAATATTTGGAATGCCCATTGAATCAGTGCAAACCAAATGCAAAATCAGAGCACCTGTTTGTATAATTTGTTATCATTTAGGGGCTGAAAGAGTCTACTAAACATAAGAACATCTTTACACTTCCTCAAGGGACAATGATGCTGCACCCTCTGCTTCATTCTACTTTGATTGCTCTTTCACCTTTATTTCCATGGCAACCCAGATTCTTGACTAACCGTGGGTGGTACCCGGGACAGAGGGTGGCAGTGGCCGTGAGAGCATCTTGCTGCAACAGATGCCGGGACTGTTAGTCTTGGGCTGGAGAGCCCACCCCGTGGGTCTACACCTGAGAGAGATAGGTTGAGCCTCAGTGCAGTTTGGGCCTTTAATCTTCTAGAGCAAAGGTCAAAACTTTCAAGGCAGTGCATTCATGTCTGAAGGAGATGGTTCCATATGAGACACCACAAAAATGTATCTTGCCAAAACATCTTCCAGGGAAATGAATAAATTGGCCTCATGAGTTTCAGACCCAAAACAGCAGCTTTCTGCTCTGAAAGAAGTGCAGTCTTTGGAAAGCTTTATAATGGGGATAAGTGAGTTCACAGCTTCAGCTAGGAACTGATCATCATCATTTTGCCAAAGCAAAATATGTTTGGCTTTTTCTAGATGTCTCTTGTTTGCTTGCCATGAATAAGGTTTGGGTTTTCGTTTTTATTTAGTTTCTGGAACTGAACAGATGTTGAAAATCCCAATATGTTCCGGAAATGTTGTCTGTGACATAGAGCGAAAATTAGAATGGCCGTGTGATGATTCTTGTTAAGAGAAAGAGCTTTGAAATCTGCTTTTTTGTTGTTTTTCTTTACCTCCCTCTATCTCTCTTTCATTTTTGAACCAGACTTAGTAGCTCAGCAAAGCTCAGGTCTCTCATAATTCCAGAAAATTCTCATGAGTTTACTAGCTATTTGCTACAGAGTCAAAGTCTCTATTTCAGCAACCTGCGACAAGGAACTCCACGAGTTCTTCTTCCCATGAACTTCACATTCAAAAGCTGCAGGTTAAATCTGGAGCATCAGTTAGCTTTGAGGTTCCCAGTTTTTTGAAGAGAAACTTCTTTTTGGATGTTTGTGTCATTGCCTGTTTGAGGAACCGGTGTCTCTTGCAGCTCACATGCTAAAATGCAGAGTTGATCTCTAACAGGCAAACAGGAAGTATTTCATTTTCTAGTGTGAAATTTAAAACAGAAATATAAACATGAGTTAGTTAAGTTATTGATACCAAAAGATAACACAAAAGCTGATAGAGAAACGTAAGAAAGTAACATTTTTTCTCAAGAAAATAAAGAAACGTTATAAAAATTGCTTTAAATTGCTTAGCCCTATAAATAACATTTCTATTTTTAAGCTTCAACATTTCATCTTCTAACAGCCTATTAATTGGAGACAATGAGGCTAAAAAGCTGTGATCTTGGCCCCATCATCCCCAGGCTGTGCCACCTCTTGGACCTTAGTTTACTCATCTCTTAAATGGCCATAATAACATTCCCTACCCCTTGGGATTCTTGTGAGAATTAAACGAATCGTGCGTGCAATGTGCGTACCTCAGTGCCTGAAGGTATGAAGAACTCAGTAATCAGGGGTCTGCAAACTACGGCCCACGGGCCAAATCCAGCCCATTGCCTGTGTTTGTATGGCCTGTGAGCTAAGAATGGCTTTTATAGTTTTGAATAATTGAAAAAATTAAATTAATTAAATTAATTAATTAAATTAAAAAACTGAAAGAAGAATAGTATTTCGAGACGTGTGAAAATTATCCAAAATTCAGATGTCAGTGTTTATGAACAAAGTTTTATTAGAACACAGCCATTCTCATTCCTTCACATACCACCTATGGCCGCTTTTGTGCTTCAATGGCAGAGTTGAGTGTAGTTGCAACAGGGCCCTTTACAGGAAAGATTTGGCGCCCCCTGCAGTAGTTGTTAGTGCATAGGAGTTGTAACCTTATGAGTGAGTGCCTCCCAGAATCAGTGATTTTATTTCCTTGTGAATTACACATCTCACAGCTGACTCAGTGCCCACGTGGAGTGAAGGCGTATGTAAAACAATTAGTTTAATTTCCTCCTTCTCCCAAGTAAGAGAGATGGCCTTAATCAAAACAACGCATAGTATTTTAAACCTTCAGAACAGGAAAGTTAAGTGGATTAACCACATTACAAATGTCCTTTAACTAGCGACTTCTTCTGGTTAAAATGTGGTTGAGTTTAGTTTTTTAAGTTCCTCTACCACAAGTTTCCAAAACCAGTTTATCAACCAACGCAGAGCAAAGGACAGAGTGATTTCAACATTTTTCAAAGTTTTTCATGAAAAGAAAACTAAGGCTTTTGAAGCCCATGGAAGTTTGGTGCTTTCCTAGAATGAGCTTCTGGTCCCATCAGAAATAAAATCTATCTATATTGACTACAGAAGTTACCGAATCCTTTGGTTGTAATCTGAAAATATTTTGGCCATTGGTTAATTGAGTTAATGTTCTAACTAATGGGAAAAAAATCTTTCCTTGCCAATGACCTATAAGATCAAGGAAGCAAGTACTTCTGTTGTGTATCTCTCTTAGAAAGTAAACTCTCACTTGCAAGTGAAAGAAAACCCAACTCAACCTAGATTGAAAAGAAAATGAAATTTATTTGTGCTCATTGCTAGGAAGTAGAATTGGTTTTAAATAAATCTCAATTCAGGGCTCTTTTCGGCTCAGCCTTCCTGGCCTGCTACATTCTCAGCTTCCCAGCATCACATCACCCGGTCCAGAGTAAAGGAGAGATTGCTCCAGCAGCAACCTCACATGTTCTAGAATTTGTTCTCTTTCATTGTCTCAAATGGGTTCAAACACTCCTTTAGTCTGCTTTCGCCAGTTTGTGTTGCAGTAACAACCAAGCCCCAAATTTCAGTGTCTTTCAACAGCAAAGAAAGATTCTTTTTTTCTCACTCATGCTGCATGTCAGTTGTAAGCTGGCTGTGGGTGGTCCTCATGGCCCCTTCCTGCTGAGATCTAGACTGAAGAAGCAGCCCCTTCGACAGGGATGTGCAGTTATAGGGGCCGAGAGAAAATAGTGCCATGGGTGAACCACGCAATGGCTCAGTCATGCTTTCCATCATGTCTGCTCGTGTTCTATTTGCAAAAGCAAGTCACACAGCACTGAGCATAGATGTATAATTCTTTTACAGGAAGGCAGAGTGAGTAATTGGGAAAACAATACATGCCACACACTGCCATCCCTGAACCCATATGGTCAAGGAGCTAAACCATGTTGATTGGCTTAGACCTGCTCAACTGGCTTCATGCAAATTACATAGTCTTAAAGTTAGGGAGGAGTGTTCCCCTAAAGCTAAACTAGGGTGCTGTGAAGAGCATGAGGGAGAAGAGTTACTAGGTAGAAACATAAAATCTCTACAAGTTCTTTGTAATCAAATAATCATGTTATAAATCAGAAAGATTCTAAAATAAAAACTTTTTAATAGCAATATTATGATGTTGTGGGTGAAGTTTAAGTGAAGGACATCTATTTTGCTATAAATTCAGTGTCCAAAACTCACAGCTCTAGTAAAAACTATATAAACCAAATTTCAAGAGTAAGTATGGTGTAATATTTGAGGCAAAAAGTAAAACCTTTTGCTGAAATGTGTATTACCTGTGTTAAACGTACTAGCCATCTTCATGCAACCTATAATATCCCCTACTGAAATCAAGCCAGGGGCATTTAATTCTAAAATATAGCACAAATCTGATTTTCATTATGCCCATCATATCCAAAATTAAAACGTGCAGATGCAGTCATATATTCTAAATAAGGAATGCCTTTTCCAAAGCCCTGCTCTGGAAGGAAATCTGAAAACTATTCAAATACAAATGCAAATCGGATCCTTACTTAGCTCAAATCCTTCTGGATTTCCACACTGGATGTCAGTGGATTTTCCTTGGCTGCTGAAAGCCAACTTCTTGGCCTGACTTCAAAGCTAATGGGAGCCTCTAGAAGTCTCTTTTTTTTTTGTTTTGCCCACCAAAATAGTTGTGTTTTGAAGAATGGACTCTGGCCTAGGATTTATGAGTTGACACCTCTCGACATTTGGAAAGGCCCGGAAAGAAAACCACTGGCACTCAGATAAAGTTGATTTACAAAGTTATTGCCATATCATCTGATCGTCTTATTATATGAGTAATTTTCCCTCCGGGCCCTTGCACACAAAAAAAGAATTTGCTGCTTCAAAGAGGGAATAGTTCTGAACCCAGAGTCAGTGAGTCAGACTCTGTTCGTTACCTACCTAAGGGCCACTTGCCATTCCTCCGCCCTTCTTCCCTGGATCTTAGGCAAGGTTGGCAACTACCACAGCGCCAAAGTATTTGATCATGCTTAGCCTAAACCAATAATCCCATTTTCTTCACCAATAATTAGTCTAGGGGTAAGGATATGACCTACCTTTGGACAATTAAATGTACCCTGAGGTAGGGGATCAAAATACAGAAGTTCATTTGGAGCAAATCTTTTGCTGTGACCTTCCTCCCTTTTTAGGATCTTGGGTTGAGGATATGATGCTTGGGACTGTGGCAGCTACTTTATTTCCATGAGGTAGCAAATAAAAAGATAAAAATCCAGCATGACAAGGATGGCAAAGCCAAAGGAGGATAGAAAGAGCCTAGGTTCTTAGAAACATTGTGGAGCCACTGAATCAACCCCAGAACCTCCTACTTTCAAACTTCTTGTTCCATATTGTTACTGGTGAAGTCAGTATTAGATATTCAGTTACTGGTAAACAACTCCATCCTCAGTGAAAGGGCTGCTTACCTGTAGTGTGGCTTTGACCAAGTCGTTCAATCATTCAGATTCTTCGTCTGTAAAACAGGAATAATGTTATCTACTCTGAGATCTCTTTAATAACTCAGTGACCATTTACTGAGGTAATATGTTAAAAACACTTTGCACAATGTCTGACATAGTAAGAGATAGTTATTAATACCGTCTCTAAATAGTGGACACGTGCATGGTGAGTGCCTCCAGATAATTCATGCCCATGGAGTCAATAGCTCTCATCATAGCACAAGTGACAACCACTAGGATTAATTGATGCTTATTATGTGTCAGGTACTGTTCTAAGAACTTTACAAACATTGCCTAATTTATTTCTCAAAACAACTTCCTGACGTGTGTACTGTCCCCATCGAGAAATGAGAAAATGAAGGTGCAGAGATGTTGAGTAGTGGCCTTGGATTAGAGGCTCTGTGAGGGGCAGGGTCAAGATTTAGACCCAGGCAGGCCGGCACTAGGAGCTGCTCACAGTCACCATGTCAGACAGCCTATGTTTCAGGCTTACCCCAGGCGCTGGTGCTGAAGCTTACTTTTGAGAAATGCAATTGAATTAAATTAGACCTAGATGTGGAAATCCACATCTGCATTTGACCACCAATCCCAGTCTCATTGGCTCCAGCCTCTGCCTGGTTTCCTAAAGACAGGCCTGGGTCACAGACCGGCAGCCGAGCAACAGAAGCCTCCTCACAGACATGTTTGCTTGGCTGGTCCAGTGCTTTTCTTCTTTCAATGTCTTTAGATGGGGCAAGTTGACCCTTGTTCACCGTAGTCACCACCACTCCTTTTTGTCTTACATCTGGTAAATCCATGCTGATATCCTGCCTTGCTTCCCGGGGACTGTTGAGTTTGTCACTCCCCAAACTGGATCTTTGTTTACAAAGGGAAAATTCTAGAAGTTGGGTCAATATTTTAAGAAATAGGGCCGGCCCTGTGGCTTGGTGGTTAAGTGCGCGTGCTGCAATGCTGGTGGCCCGGGTTCGGATCCCGGGTGTGCATCGAGGCACCACTTCTCCGTCCATCCTGAGGCCGAGTCCCACATGCAGCAACTAGAAGGATGTGCAGCTATGACATACAACTATCTACTGGGGCTTTGGGGGGAAAAAATAAAATAAAATAAAAATAAAAATCTTTAAAAAAAAAAAAGGCTTAAAAAAAAAATATTTTAAGAAATAGAATGTGGGAGAGACAGCTGTGATTTAATTGCCTTATTTCGGGCTGTTTCTGCATGCTCATTTGTTGATGGGCACCTTCCTGCTTCAGTTGACAATACAGAGATGAAGTGTTCTCCTCAATTCAGATCATTTGGGTCATTTGCAAACCAATGGTATATTCTGTACGAAGGAAAGGAAAATGGTTTCTCCACAAGCGTACTGTGTTTTTGGAAATAACTAAGTTCCCTCCCCTGCTCCCTGACAGCAAGAGCAAGATTCCGAGGAAGTTGGGGATCTGGCTCCAGCAAAGACAGAGGCAGAGATGCTTTTGGCTCTAGACTGTTTTCTTCTGAGGCAAGGGATAGCAAACTGTAAAGAGCCAGAGAGTAAATATTTTAAACTTTGCAGGCCACCTACAGTCTCTGATGCATGTTTTTCAGCTTTTAAAAAAATTTTCAAACCCTTTCAAAATGTAAAATCTATTCTTAGCTCAAGGGCCACCCCAAAACAGGCTCCGGCATGAATTTGGTAGTAGTTTGTCAACCGCTGGCTGAGAAAACAAAAGGAAATTACAAAACCCTCTCCAGGCGGGTAGACTCTGTTGTTTTCTAGGGACCAAGGCAGATGCAGAAACTGTCCCTGCATCAGAGGGCAGGTGAATCAGACCTTCCATCTAAGCCCCTCACTGCTGGCCATCCCTTCTCCCCCACAGATATTCGAGAAGCACTGAGCTCACTAGGTACCTTGCTGGGGGCCATAAAGAGCTTAGCCATCGTTTCCTTGGCAAGTTCATTTTTCTTCTAAAAGCATGAACTTCAGTTAAGTGACAATGGCAAATGACCAGTCTGGGGCGGATGGGAAATGAGTTAACAAGGGAGTGGGGTGTATTAAATCCAGTGGCTTTCGCACTATCCTCTCTGCAAAGACAACGGTTTCTCCACAGTTGCAGCGGAACTAGGATGTGGAAAGGAATACGTCGTGGTCACCGTCTCTAAGGTTGCATTCTTAAGGGAATGATTCCTCCTGATTTTTACACAGGCCAGGTGTAGTTCACCTTTAGGGCAGACCAAAGACGTGGGCCTACTAGAATGGAAGGGGTATTGAGCGTGCTCTGAAGGGCAGCCCCCAAAAGGAACTTCCTATCTAAGCCCTGTACCTTCATGGGGCAGGAATTTTGCCACTTCCAAGTCAATTTGGCAGTTGGCCACATATTGGCTGTTTGAGAGCACATTATATGACATGAGTGTTAATTCTTGAAGACGTGCCTGTGTAGAAATGGTCGCAGATGCAAACCTGTAGCCACTATGTGGACAAGGGGGCAACCAGGACCCTACTTTATAAAACACGTTTGGGGGGAATGTTTTTTTTTGACTGTTTTATTACCTGGCAAAATAATCTAGGCAGTGTGTGAATCACCGGTAGAGGTTATAAAGTCCGAGGAAGTAGAATCAGCCTTACAGACAGTGGATCTCAACGAAGAAGGAGATGCCACCCCTGAACCCGCAGAAGTAAAACTCAGAAGAGAAGAACGCAGACCACCGAGAACCTCCTTGATGGCCTTTCTCAAACAAATGGTAAGCCACTTGCTTCCGGGGCAGGAAGACTGACTTAGATTAGCATCCGAGAATAAGGGACCCGTGTCACAGGCGGCATGAGACGTAAATTGTAGGTGTTATAGATGGAATATGAATTGTGCGTTGAGAAAATTCCCTTTCGTCCTTCTGATTCAACACAGAGAAAGCCTGTTTATTGCTAATATTTCTTAACCTTTCTTTAACTCTGCTAACTCCCTTTTTAACAAAGAAAGAGCTGGCCTTGGGTCCTGAGTTTTGGCAAACAGCAGTATCCACCTAGAAGTTAATATTATCGTTTACTTTTAATTTTACTTATTTTAAATTTTCCTTCTGTTTATGGCAAATGATACTGCTTTTCTCATTATGGTAATGATATGCAGTTTCCTTTGAAAACACAGTTATTTACATAAAGAACATAAGGCATTTTTTAAAGGATTAAGTAATGAATAGTCAAGTTGTATACTGATGTTGGAAAAATCCTGAAAGTGACATGTGAGGGCCACAAACGTGGGCAGAGGTGACTTGTAGATAATTCCAATAAGGAAATGGCAACATAATTTTCTAATAATGAATATGTATAACTTAGTTGGTGAATTGCCATGCTTTTAGTTTGTATAGGATGGAAAGAATGTGGGCAGACATCTTTTGGTGTCTATGAAGAGTCATGTACATTAAACACCTAAACATGCAGGAGCTTCAATAATATAATGCAACAAAACCAAATCAGTTGGAAGACAAAAAACAAAAACCCACGTAAAAGGTCATTGGTTTAATTCTCTTTTAATGAAAAACAAGAATTTCATTATCGTGCGCCTTCATTTTCAGGAGTATTTGGGAATTTAATCCTTTGAGAAAGCAACTCTCTAATTTCACAGGCTCAACATGTTCAGGAATTCTTTCTCGTCTACAAAACAAAACAAAACAAAACTCTTGCCAGTGGGAGTCGAGGCATTTTAGAAATACCTCTGTTAGAAATTGTTGACAGGAATCATTTTCTTCTATTGTTGGATTCTCAGGGAGTGAGAAGTTAGAGTGAGTCGTGGAGAGCCTCTGTGGCTGGAACCCCATCTATATTTCTGGCCCTTTACTCTGCAATTGGGTGCTGAAAATGGGGATCAAGATTTGAAATTTTTAAACCAGTTTTTACACGATGTCAGGAAGGAAAAGAACATTTGGCCTGTTTCTGGCAACACATCTAAATTACAAATGGGATCCCCAAATAGCTCATCATAACATTGAGGGTGATCCAGCTTTCTCATTTCTGAATGGAGTTGAGAGGTACAAAAAAAAAAAAAAATAGCAAACAGAATGGTTTTCTCTTCCAAATAATCAAAATGAGACTTCTTCATGTAAAAGAGAGGAATATACCAGAAACCCCAAATAAAGCATGAAAGACCTCTAAACCACCATTACATCCATTCAAAACAAATTCTTAAATTCTAGGAGATCCTATATTACTTAAATTCATCCTCTGGAGATATTCATTAGGTATTGTTTGGGGATATTTTCTAGCAGTAGAAAGTGAGTAAGTCTGAATTGGTAGGGGAATAAATTGGAAACAAAAGAGTCCTTTGGAATTGATTCTTCATAGGAGAGAGATAGAGGTAGAAGAGGACACATTTTTCCCAAGCAATCCTCAGTCAATCCACAGTATCAAGTCTTATAATGTCCATCGTTCTTATTTCCTATTGCCCATTAAAAGCTTTATGCCTGGGAGCTTGAACATTATTCCTTCCTTTTAATGTTTACACTCCAAAGTTTCCATGATTGTTGGGATTTCACCTAAAATATCCTAATTATTTTTGTCTTACATTCTGTTTTGTTTTCATTAAAACATTATTTTACTATTGTGATTAATTCAAATACACAAAAAACATGGGTTTTCCAGTTCACCACAATCCCCACCACTCCCTATCATCACACCCTGCCTAGCTCCCTCATTCATGTTCCTAGCCCTATCCCTGTGGGTATTTGAGTTTGCAACCCCTGATACAGAGCCGCCTCATTCTTTATAATAACTTCACTGAATCATATTGTCTGGATTTATCATACTTTGATTCACCATTGCTCTATTGATGGACATTTGGTTTGTTTCCAACTTTTTGCATTTCATTCATTCACTTATTCAACAAATAATTATTGAGTGCCCACTAGATCCCAGGCACTAGGGATACAACAGTGAGCATAAGTAGACATGGTCCCTGTTCTCATGGAGAATAAAACTTACTGAGGAAAACAGACACTTATTTTTAACTCTATCCCATATTCAGTGAGCGTGCACCATGTGTTTTACACACATGATCTCAGTTGCTTCACTAACCTGCATGAACATCCTTGTACACCTACCTTTACGCACATGTGTTAATATCCCCATAGCGTAGATTCCTGGAAGTCAGCTTCAGCAATTATTTTCAGGAAATACTTTTGGGTAACATTTTATGGCTTCCAAACTGACTTAAAGTCTTTGGATTTATACAGGAAAAAAAAAGTTGCTCTAAGGGTTTGAAAATAGAGACAGTATCTGGCCCATCACTAGGGGATTTTTACTTTTTATTTTTTGAGCCGATTAAGTGAATGTTTCAAACTGATTTTAGATATTGTTAGCAAAATACAGTTTTTTAAAAATAATTGATTTACTAGAAGAGAAAACTCAATTGCAAATGTGTCACTCTTGTTTTGTAATCAATGTCTCCATTCATCAAATCATTGATTTTCTACCATCTAGCCATTGCCTCCCTTAAGTTTCTTTCAGAGAACATATTTTACTATTCCATGGCAAAGGAACTCTTGGTTGAGTTTTTTTTTTTTAAATAAATGCATTGCCCAGTTCATTTCTAAAGAGATCTCTTTCTTTCCAGAAATTAACATCTCATAAAAATAAAAATAGAACTAATATCATTTTTCAAATAATTATATTTCAGAGGAAAGAAAATAGAGTCACACGAGTCCTTACATTGCATTTGAGATATGTAGATATACTTCACGAAAATCCTGTGGGCTCCCACAGATTTTTCAAAATAATTGCAAGGAATCGCTGAGACATCTGTCATGCCCTAAATAGAAAAAGATTCTTATATGTATTAATTCAACTGTATGTCAAGAAATTGGATATTTGAAGTGGTAGTATATTTTTGTAAAGTGAGTGGGTAGAGAACTGTATTCACGTACCCACAAACCAGGTAGGCAGATGCAACCCTAAAGGTGGTAGATAGAAATATAGCATGTAGATTTATAATTTGTCAATATTAATAACACCTTGCACTTGGAAAGTACTTTCCTCCTCCAAACTATTGCCACGTACATTGTTTCATTTAATCCTCCTCCTGTCTCTTTCTTTAAACCGTTAGTTTTGTGAGGAACTCTTTCTTGAAATAATGTTCCTAGTCTTAGATAAGAAATACTGCGAGCTTTAATACTTGGCAAATTAAAGACCCAAATAAAGCAACAGCCAAGAAACTGGAGATTTTGTTGACTACATTCAATCTAACAAATCTAAAAGAATCTGTTAAAATTTACTATCTGGAGGAAAAAAGATGGTGGTTTGTAATGGTAATTATAAAGCAAAAAACAGGAGTCTTCTAGCCAGAGTTTTTAATCTCAAATTCTTCCCTGAGTACTAAAATATAAATACTGAGTTGCTCTTTAAGGAAAGGTTTCCTAAAGTCGCATTTGTTTGGGCCATTCCTGTCTCCACCAGAGACTCGTATGCCTTCCTACCCTAAGGGGGATTCTGTAGTCATTCGGTTCTTCTCAGTTATTAATAGTAATAATAATAATAATAGCTACCATTTATTTATTGTGTGCAAATGGCATGGCCAGCACTGTGCTAATAACAATAAGCCCGTTTATGCATGAACTCATTTATTCATACAACAACTGCGTGAAACAAGCACTGTTACTGCCCCACTCTTACTGCAGTTGAGGGCACACTCAGAGGGTGTGAGCCATCTGCCCAGAGTCACAGAGCTGGCAAATGGCAGAGCCCGAGTTGAGACTCAGGTTTTTGTTGATTCTAAAGCTCACTCTTGTGAGCTCACGCATGTTACTGCTGCTCCCTCTGCCTCCGGCAGCGGGTTTTCTTTGAGAGTAAGTGGAGGTGGAACAACCTGAAGCTCCATTTCTGTGATTCTCTTAGTAATGTTTTCTGTGGAAAGAAATATCATTTTTATGTGTTGCGCTGACCCAAAATTACACTTACCTGAAGTTACAACAAGGCAAAAGAAAGGAGAATTAGTACATGACTTATGTAAAGATCGACCTTAAGTTTTCTGAATATACTTGTAACTAAAGTGAGATTTACCTCAGCTGTGTAATTGTGTCTGAACTGTCCAATTCCATTTCAAGCGAGCATCTAGGTAAAACAGGAAGCTGGGACTCATAGCCTTTGTTGATCCTGGAAATTTCTAGCAGGTCCAGTTCCTTGGATTTGTTGTAATGAGGCTAATGTAGTCAACAACCTTGCTGATGGACTCTCACTAAATTAAAATGTCATCCCAATTCTTCTTCTTTTAAATCTCAACTTTGGTTGGATTGGAGCATCATCAAAATACATTTGCATTCCTTTCAAAGAAGTGTGAACTGACCACCAAACATTTCCACTAGAATTTTGAGTATCTAAGTAATAGACATTGGAGATGGTTCAAACATTCCCCAGAGTATCAAGCTCTAGGAATGCATGACGATGAAAGAAATTAAAAATGCAGGGTTTGGATGCCACAACTAGGTGCTATCTCCACGCTGCAGACTGGCCGCCTGAGATGCCTCACCTTTGGTTCTCATGAATGAGAATCAACTCCGTGAAGAAAGTTGCTCAGTATCAGACTGGGAAATCTCTGAAGTTACTCAGTAGTCCTCAAGCTGTTCTTTAAAGTATTTAAAAAGTCTCTGAAAGAATTTTGGTCTCTTTAAACAGTAACTCTGCTATTTTTGACAGCTGGAAAAAATAAGCTTCTGTGGTTATGGTCCTTTGAATGCAAAGCCCAACATGGGCTATTCTAATTTGTTTCTGAAAGAGGGCTCTGCATAGAGGAAAGAAGAGGGATAGAGAGAAAACAAAGGAAGGAGGGAGGGAGGGAGAGAGGCAGGAAGGAATTATTAATAACTGCATTACTGCAGAGACCTCAGATGGACTTAATAAGACCCTTAGTTTAAACTCAGCATACAGTCACCTTTGGGTAAACACAGCTGTATATGCCTCAAAATGAACAACAGAGAAACATCATAGAAAAGCTTGAGATAGTCTCCTTTCTTTTTAAGAGGTTGAACTTCTTTGCAGTGATCTCCCTGACAGCCTGAGGGTCTGTTTTCAGTATGCTGATGTAGATCCACTGCTGCCAAGAGAACCTTTGGGTTCAATCCAAATTCTCCTCCAAGGGCTAGCAAAGAAAGGGAGGAGGAAGAAAGCAAAAGTAAACCTTAAATTGGTAGGGTACCTAACAGATACTACATTGAAACAAATAAAGGGAAGTTGAAAATCTCTCTCTCTCTTAGGGGACAAAGGTGGCCAAAGGGCCAGCACGACTCTTGATGTCCATTCATGTTTTGCTTAAAAAGCCATCTTGTTTGCTTGGTTGGTTGGTTTTGCTTTAACATTCCCCAAAGGCCCACTAATGAGGACATGATGCTATAGTCTTAAGGACACTGGAGAATGTGTTTGAGTAGGAAGGGCTCTTATGACACAGCCTGAATTCTGGAGGCCAAATGAAATCCCAAAGTGGCAAAACCTTTGGGTGAGATGGGGAGGCTGACAAAGCTGGCTGTAGGGAAAGAAATAATAACCAAGAGTGTCATTCTCTTTTTCTAAATGTTCTCAAGCAAGACTGGCCCTTGTAGAACAATCCAGAAGACCCAGAGGAAGAAAAAACCACTTTGCATCTAAATGGATCTAAAGTTTATGTAGAGGACAGGCAGATCCTTATTTGTCTTTGGGTTGAACACCTTGGTGAAACTCATGACAATGATATCCCTAAGAAAAGCACATGGCCCTTCCAGACACCAGGAGTTCAGGCTGAAGGAAGACTTCTTCCATTCCCAACCAATCGAGAAGCATGTATTCTACCTTAGGCCAAGCTCTGTGAAGGTTGCTTTTGGAGTAGAAAAAGGACATAGGAATTCCCATCCTGTATTAAACCGTTGACAGTCCTAGTCAAGTCTTCTGAATCGGAGAGCAGCACCAAGCATGTTTAAAGGTGAGCATGGTTGACCCCTGAGGATGGGCATGTCCCACAAACATCCCTATGTGAGATATATCAACCTCAATCTTATCCAAGTCCTTATCATTTTTCCTAATTTGATAGCTTCATAGTAGATGCTCAATAAATATTTATTCATTGAATGGTACTCCTACATTCTAGGGCAGCATGGGGAGGTGGTGAAGAGTATAGAGCACAGAATCATCACCTGGTGTCAAATCCTGGTTCCATAACCTGCTTGTTCCATGACTCATGCTAGTTTCTCTGAGCTTCCATTTTCTTACCTGTAAAATGAGGAAAATAAAATTATTGCTCTATCTTAAGGTTCCAAGGTGATGAATAAATGAACTAACATGTGTTATTATTTCATTGAGCACAGTGCCTGGCACTTAGTAAGCACTTCAAGTTAGCCTTCCTAAATAGCGATTTTATTATCTCTACTAATAAGAGTACCATATGTCAGATTACAGAGGCATATAATATTGATCAGTCAAAAAAGTATTTGAGTGCCTGTAAGGTTTTTAACTCCTCTTAGTGCGGGTGTTATAGCTTCTTGCTGTCTGCTAACAGAACAGCCACAATTAACAGTGGAATTGGAAGTCTTTCTCTTTGCCCCACATGGCCTGACCTCCACTTCCTATACTCCCTCCATAGAAGGGAGGAAAAGATGATAAGCAAGGGCCAAATACGTGGGGATTAGATCTGAGTCAACAATGTTGGGAAGGACTGAACAATTTGGGCCGGCCCAGTGGCATAGCCACATGTTCCACTTCAGGGATCCGGGGTTCGCTGCTTCGGATCCTGGGTGCAGACCTACTCACCGCTCCTCAAGCCGTGCTGAGGCAGCATCCCACATAGAAGGACCTACAACTAGGATATACAACTATGTACTGGGACTTTGGGGAGAAAAAAGAAAAAGAGGAAGATTGGCAATAGATGTTAGCTCAGGGCCAATCTTCCTCAAAGAAAAAGAAAAACTGAACAATTCATTACCAGATTTCTTAGTTATTTTATCAAGCACAGAGCATTACTAAGGCACAGTTGAAACCACAGACCCCAGTATTGGTCTGCATTCATCTATGGCCAGTTAGCTTAAAGCAGTGATGCTCAAATTCAAGTGTGCCTCAGAATCACTTGGAGGGTTTGTTAAAACACAGATTGCTGGGCCCCACCCCTAGAGTTTCTGATTCAGTAGATCTGGAGTAGAGCTCAATAATTTGCACTTCATGGGGCAGGCCTGGTAGCATAGTGGTTACGTTCACACACTCCACTTTGTCAGCCTGGGGTGCACGGGTTTGGATTCTGGGTGCAGACCTATGCAGCACGCATCAAGCCATGCTGTGGCAGCATCCCATATACAAAAAAATAGAGGAAGATGGGCACAGATGTTAGCTCACAGCTAATCTTCCTCATCAAAAAGAGGAAGATTGGCAACACGGGTTAGCTCAGGGCCAGTCTTCCTCAAAAAAAAAAAAAATTGCGTTTCTAACAAGCTCGTGTGTGGTGTTCAAGCAGCTGTTCCTAGGATCACACTTTTAGAACCGTTAGCTTCAAGCGTGGGTTTAAGGGGCCAAGCTGTGAATTCAACCCCATCTAGCCTTGTCGCTGACGTCAGTGGCCACAGGGGGCGCTAAAAGATGGAAAATGAAATGTTCAACATAGCCCATCTCTCTACTAGGGGAAATACAACAACACGCGCACCACCTAAATGTTACTACTGGAAGGCTCCCAATGGTTTCATTGTTCGTTCATTTACTTATTCTTCAATATGTTCAACCACCTCCAGGTTCCAACATGAGTATTTTCATCATCATTTCTTTATCTCAGAATTACCTAATCCTAGGGTTTAGGACTTCTGTGTTGTTATTTTGAGTTTAATCAGACTCTGGGTACAGACCACATGGACATTGCATAGCTCATGAGTAAAATGTTTCCAATTGGTCCTCCATTTGTCTTGACTCCGAATGTCAATAATGAGTGACTAAGGTCATCCATTTCAGAACATCTCGTGCGTTCTCCATTTTGTTGTGCTTGTGGTAGCTGAAAGGCCATTGTCTGTTTGTTATTTTAGTCAGTGAAAGGGGATGGAGGGATCACCCCATCAGAAGAAGTAAATGGGAAAGACTCCAGCTACCAAGTAAGTGACATGTAAACTCGGTTCGGTGGTGGGTTTAGCTGGCGTGTTTTCAGTTCTTTCCAGCCTCATTCCCAATGCAATTCTCAACCACAGCTAAGTCATTTAACATCTCTAGGTTGAGCACCTGCTGTATACCAGGCGCTATCTTGAGCTCTGCAGATACGAGCATGAACAAGCTAGAGTCTCTCCACTATTTCTTATCACAAGGCTTTCACACATGTTCTTCCCTCTTCTCCACACGGAAAATTCCTTCCTGTCCTTCAAGTCTTGGCTGAAATGTCACCTCCTCAAAGAGATCTTCCATTTCCACCCGTCATCACTGCATCTTGTCCTTTTACTTCATGGCACTTATCACATGTGGTACTAAGTCATTTGTCTGTTAGCCCTCTGTGTCCCCTATCCCTTCCCTCCCCTATCTGGAGCATCTGTGGAGCAAGGAAGGAGCCTCTTCTATTTTCTATCACATTGCATGGTGCCGGGCACGTAGTAGGAGCTATTTCTTGAGTAGATGAGTGAAAGACATGGAATCACATGGTTCATTTCCATTATTTTCTCTATTCTAAAGAAACATAGCTATGACATTTTTATTTTTTTATTTTTTTATAATTTTATTTATATATTTATCTATTTATTTATTTATTCCCCCAAAGCCCCAGTAGATAGTTGTATGTCATAGCTGCACATCCTTCTAGTTGCTGTATGTGGGACGCGGCCTCAGCATGGCTGGAGAAGCTGCGCGTCGGTGCGCGCCCGGGATCCGAACCCAGGCCGCCAGCAGTGGAGTGCGCGCACTTAACCGATAAGCCACGGGGGCCAGCCCTATGACATTTTTATAACCATATGTATTCTTTTATTTCCAATGGGATCATCTCATGCTCAACACCCTATTTTATAACCTGTACTCTTTCAACTAAAAATTTACCTCCACAAAAATATGATCAAATATTCTTCCACTAATTTTGGCAATACAGAGAAGTGGTTCAGTGAGAGTTGCAGACTCAAAATACCTGGGTTCAAATCCTGGCTCAGCCATTTTTTTAGCTGTGTGACTAAAGGCAAATTACCAATCTCTTCGTGCCTCAGTCTCCTCATCTATGTCATGGAGCTAGGAAAAGTACGGCCTTACAGGATTGTATACTTAGATGAATCAATACATGTAAAGCACTTAGAACATTCCTGATACAGAGGGCTCAGTAAATGTTAGTTGCTGTGTTTGCACAGCTGCCATAACAAAGTACCATAGACTGAGCAGCTTAAACAACAGAAATTTATTTTCTCACAGTCATAGAGGCTGGAAAATCCAAGATCAAGATGGCGGCAGGGTTTGGTTCTTGGTGAGGAGGGCTCTCTTCCTGGCTTTCAGATGGCTGCCTTTTCACTGTGTCCTCACATGGCAGAGGAGAGAAAGCGAGCTCTCTGGTGTCTCTTCTTATGAGGACACTAATCCTGTTGGATCAGGGCCCATCCCTGTAACCTCAGTTAACCTTAATTACTTCCTTACTCCAAATACTTTCACTTGGGGGGTTAGGGTTTCAACAAACGAAACCATAGCTGTTGCTATTGTTTTGTTACTATTACTATAACACTGCTGGTAGGAAATTACCATCCTATAATGTTGTTCATCTCACACACACACAAATAGGCAGCAATGGCTGTAAATAATTTATGATATTTCTATTTCCACAGTAATTGGATTATCCTGTATATTTCAACATGAAATATATTGCTTTTTACTGCATTCAAATTCTTTTCTTTTCTTTTCTTTTCTTTTAACTTACTACTATGCTTGCCTCCCAAACCCATATTCTAGACCAATTTGGGACCAAAAATCCCAAAAGTTACTACCTTGAAAACATAATAAACTTACTTTATTTAGTATGAAAAACTTAAATATGATTGCGCCTTTTGTCTAGAATCTGACAATGAAACAATTATGCCAATAATTTTGGTGATTCTAAAATCTGAATAAAGTCAGTGAAAATCTGAATGAGCTGGAAACCTCATTCTATTTACAGTTATCTAGCAGTGTTTTGAGAATTCTATTTTCCAGGGCCTTGGATCTAGACTTGAGAAGATTGGTGTTTACTCATTGAGAGATTAGAAATGCTTTGTTTAAACGGGGGGGATGGGAGCAAACATTCTCTGCTCCTTTTAGATTTGCCCTCTCCGAGTTATGAAAGTCTTAGTTGATATTTCTAGGAAAAGAAGCCCAAGGCACTCCCAGCCTAGGTTGGCTTCCAGTGTCTGAATCAAATGGGACATTCCCAAGACCTTGTCCTCCAACTTCCTGTCAGCATCTCTGGGCTCTAGGAAAGGATGCACTCGGATGATTCAGATGTGAATAATTTTTGTTATAAATTTTGAAACAGAGTCAAACACCAAGCAAATGTTTTAAATTGTCTGCATTTAATGGGAAAGCAGTCATTGCAAAGTTTAGATTCTTAGCTTACTCTGAAAATAAGGAACCAGCCAATTATTGCCTTCAGAAGTTAAAAAAGACATTAAAAAGAAAATTGAGGGGCCGGCCCCGTGGCCTAACGGTTAAGTGTGCGCGCTCCGCTGCTGGCGGCCCGGGTTCGGATCCCGGGCGCGCACCGACGCACCGCTTCTCTGGCCATGCTGAGGCTGAGTCCCACATACAGCAACTAGAAGGATGTGCAGCTATGATGTACAACCATCTACTGGGGCTTTGGGGGGATAAAATAAATAAATAAATAATTTTAAAAAAAAAAGAAAAGAAAAGAAAATTGAAGCCTAATACAGATGGAATAACCGTGTTGCAAATGGACATGATCCATTGAAAGCTCCCCTCTTGAAAAAAATCAACATCCAATGAGAACTATTGGACTATGTATACCTTCCACTTCCCACTCCATAATGATTTGCCAAGAGAAATATCTTGGAAACATTTGGAAGGCGAGTTGCTGGTCATTCATTCAACCCATTTTGATGGAGACCTACTGTGTGTTAGAATAGGTGCTGAGGATAAAGCAGTGGAAGAAACAAAGAGGGGTTTTTTTGTCTGGAGCTCCCCTTCCATTAGAAGGAGACAAAACATCTTCAAGTGAGCAGAGAAATCCCCCAGATGGCTGCAAATATAAAGAAAATGCAGCAGTGCTCCGGAGGAGAGGGGGTCAAGCTTCTTTAGACCATTTCCAAGGTCTAAAGATGCAGGGACTGCATCTCCAAGGAGGTGACACTTGAGCTGAGACTTGATAGGAAGGAAGCAGCGGTCATTTGAAGCCCTGGAGACACACCAAGCAGAAGCTACAGCAAATGTGAAGCCATGTTTTGAGAATAAGCTTGTTTCAGGGATGCAAGGAGGCCGTGTGGCTGGAGCAGAACAAGCGGAGGGGAAAGGGATAGGAGACACAGCTGGAGAGGCACAGGGGGACTCCATTCAACGAGAATTTCCTGACTGCCTCGTCTGTACCCAGCACTCAGATCCCCACAGGCTCTCAGAAGGAGTCACCACTGGCCTTGTTAAGCCAGATGAACAACTCGTCCCAGTTAGCCCTGGATATTCCTGGTTTTAAAACTGTGAATTCTGTGTCCTGGACCCCCTCACTCTCAGACAAACCAAGACAATTGGTCCCCTGATGTTTGGCATTTCCCATGAGCCAGGCACCATGCCAACAGGCTTTCCATTACTAGCTAATTTAATCCTCAAACGCCATGAGGTATGATTTTTTTGTTGTTGTTACTCCCATACAGAGAGGAAGTTGAGAGATCAAACAATTTATTCCAGATCACACAGCAAGGATGCAATGAAACTAGGACCACACCATGTTCCTTTGAGTGCAGACACTGCTCTTAGCCACTCACTGTATCTTAAAATCTTCTACACAACAAAAAGAGTTAATGAGGTGTTTGAACCGGGGTCCCTGTTTCTGGCCTTCCTGAAGAGCCTCATGATGGCAGTTTCTGTCTCATCCTAAGGGCAGCATCTGCTCTGGGCTGTCTGCTGTATGTGGACATCTGTGTCTTAGCATTTGCTGCAACTTTGGCAGCGGGGATCTGACAGAAATATCCAGGACGTGTGGTTGCAGAACAGCTTCTCGGCGTGCACTGGATGTCTGATGCTTCTTTCTCCAAGGACTTCTGCCCTGCGAGGCAACTGTGGAAGCCTCTGGGACTGGGGAATCTTCTCTGTCTTCTCGCTTATTTCTAAGGGTTGTCTTTGATCCACTGGTGTGAAATGACAGTTCTCCTGATCGCTGCCTCCTCAATCAAAACTGCCACTTTGAGGCCGGCCCGGTGGCGTAGTGGTTAAGTTCACATGCTCTGCTTTGGTGGCCTGGGGTTCGTGGGTTTGGATCCCGGGTGCAGACCTACACACCGCTCATTGAGCCATGCTGTGGTGGCATCCCACATACAAAATAGAAGAAGAAGGGCACTTGTTAGCTCAGGGACAATCTTCCTCAGCAAAAAAAAAAACCTGCCACTTTGTCATAGAATTTTCAGACCCAGGGACAGTACATAACTTTATGACTCAGCAATTGTAAGCATATATCCAGTAGGTCAAATGCGGCCCCTAGGGGTACTTGTGTTGTGGTTATTGGCCATGAACAAAGCTTTAAAACTTTTGAAGTCAAGATTCAAAAATGGACATATTTTACATTAAAAAAGATTCAATTTCAAGTTTCCATTGAAAAAAATAGAAGATTCGACAGCACTGGGGCTGTAATCCTACATGGTATTTTTCAGCTGGGTCTGAGCAGCAGTTGCCCCTTGAGACAGGCCATGTGACATTCAGTTCACCACAGTCCCCCCTACTCCAAATTGTCTCCCCAACATCAAATCCAGCATTGCTTGAACTGGTGTTTTCTTATGCTGAAGAAATATTTCTGTGGCCCTATGTTGCTTTTACAACCGGGAAAATAAGGTCCCCATGTGATTACTCTTTTTTTCTTTTTTTTTTTTTTTTAATGAGGAAGATCAGCCCTGAGCTAACATCCGTGCTAATCCTCCTCTTTTTGCTGAGGAAGACCAGCTCTGAGCTAACATCTATTGTCAATCCTCCTCCTTTGTTTTCCCCAAAGCCCCAGTAGCCAAGTCAAAAGCTGTATGTCATAGCTGCACGTCCTCTAGTTGCTGTATGTGGGATGCAGCCTCAGCATGGCCGGAGAAGCGGTGCGTCTGTGCGCGCCAGGGATCCGAACCCGGGCCACCAGTATCGGAGCTCGCACACTTAGCCGCTAAGCCACGGGGCCGGCCCATGTGATTATTCTTATCTCTAGCTTCTTTCATGTTTTTATTTTATCTATCTGGCCCCCATAGGCATTTCAGTTTGAGTAAATTATGGGAAAAAGGCTTTTGCATCCTAACAGATTTTTTCTTATCTGTAATTTACCTAGCATTTTCTAGAATTTTGGATTTTATAGCTTCATCCTTCTAAATTGTAGGAACCAAGTAGGATTACAAACATTTCACTTTAGCATGAAAGGATGTGCATTCAAAATTAAAAATAAAACAATCATCTTCTTTTACCATTGTTTTGTGAAGGGAAGGGACAGTTGCACACCGGGAATTAAGATAGACATAATCATGCAGAATAGGCATCCCCAAGAAAAGAGTCACACATGGTTGCAAGTGGGAGAAACCCTCTCAAAGCTTGCATAAGCACAAAAGGGCTTCAGGAACAGCTAGATCTAGGGGCACACACAATGCCATCAGCACATGGGCTCTTTCTCCTGCTCTCTCATCTCTCAGCTCTGCTTTCCTCTACATTGGCTTCCTTTTCAAGTTGGTTTCTCCTGGAAATGGTGGTGGCTCTGGAATCTCCAGGCTTTTATCTTCAAATCCAGCAGAAAGGGAGCAGGATTCTCTCTCAGTTATTTTAGCAAAGCTCTGAGATTAGCTCAGTTTCTATCTGTGTTTGGGGCATCTAGAACCAATCACCGTAGCCCAATTGCATGCAATGCTCTGATTGGCCAAATCTGAGTCACATGCCCTTGTCCAGGGGTGGAATTAGTTTGCCTAAACCACAAAAAAATAGACAAGAGAGAAGAGTGGTTCCCCAAGGAAAACTCAGATTCTAGTACCAGAAGGAGGAAAGAATCCTTGCTGGGAAAGCATAAAATTAATTAACGAATTGTTAGCTAAATAAATAAACGTCCCCTGCTGTAACCTTGTACCCTAAGTATTTGCACATTTTTCATATTTTTTTTTCCATTTCACCCAGCACTCGTGAAAATGTAGATACCATCCAACATTTGAACACCTCTGTTTTAACATATTTTTTTTACTTGCTATTGAGAGTTGTCTTGCAGCCACTAAAAATGCATTTTGTTTGACCTTGCTGTAGACACCGGACTCAACGGAGAAGGCCCTCTCGCCACCGGAGCCAGAACCGGCAGGAGTAGGCCAGAAGAGCAAAGAAGGCTCCTCAAAAGACAAGAAGGCAGCAGCCGAAATGAACAAGCAGAAGAGCAACAAGCAGGAAGCCAGAGAACCGGCCCCGTGCGCGGAGCCCGCCGTGGGGGAGGTGAACTTGCAGGACGGGGACAAGGCCCCAAAGCGACCCGAGAAGCGGCGGCAGTCCCTCGGGGGCTTCTTTAAGGGCCTGGTAGGTGGATTTTTTCCCTCTTCTTTCCAGGCTCTCAGGCCAGGGGTGTGGTTCCCACCTCCAAAGGGGACCAGTTGGCTAGGGGTTGGCTGGACACTTGTCAACTATTTATTGAGCACCTGCTGTGTGCCAGGCGCTGTGCTGGGCACAGAGAGCAAGGTGGATGTAGGCTTTGCTCTCCTGGATCCCTCAGTCAGGCGCGGGATTGACGGGGGCTGGGTGCTGAGTGTGGGAAGAGCTAGGAGGCAGAAGCAGGCATGTGAAGGCGACCTGGGTGTGTGGACGTGGCCTGGCCTCGGGTTTGAGAGGAGTGTCAGAGAAGGCTTCTCAGAGGAAATGTGGGATCCCAAGTCAGCCTGTGGAGGGAGGAGGCAAGGGGAGGTCTGACGGCAGAGTGCGCTCCAGGCAGTGGGACCACCGGTGCAGAGGTGTGCCGGAGACACAGCACGGAACTGAAGTGCAGTCTGGCTGGAAGAGAGAATCCAAGGATGGGGGAGGGGTTGGCAGGAACAGGTGCATCTCTGCTCGTCTGTGGCCAAAGGGAGCCTTGAGGAGTTGAAACCAGAGAAATTGCTCTAAGCCTGCCCCTGGGGGCTGGGTATTCAGAAGTGACTAAAATAGCTTCTTCCCTCCAGGGAAGCCCAGTCGGGGGTGAGTGGAGGCCAGACGTTAAATAATTAATTAACCTTTGCATTCTTTATTTGTGTCTATTTGGTTCTTCTCTGTCTCCTCCCTAGACTGTTAGCTGTGGGAGGACAGTGAGCGTACCTGTCATGGGCAGAGGTGCTGTCCTGCCCGCACAGTGGCTAGAACGTAGTAGACACTCAATAAGTCTTTGTTGAATGAATGGATGGATGGATGGAGTGAAATAGGACACTAGTAAATGTGTCATTACATTTGGGATACTGTAAATCCTGGCAAACAAGGAGCATCTGAAGGGTCATTACTCAAATGATAAGCAAGGTAGTCAAGCATTAACCAGGAGGAGAAACAAATGAAGTCATGCCCGGGAGCCCTGAGAATGCGGGTTGAGCCAGGAGGGCAAGGCAAGGAAAGAAGGCTGACACCGGCCGGGGCGCCAGTGAACTGGGGCTCACCTTCACGTTGCAATAAAGATGGGGTAGTTACGTGAAGCACACTGCCCTAAACCTACCTGATCATTCATAATTATTCCATTCCATGAATGTCTGTAGATATGGGTGACCTCTAATAGGGAGAGGTAGGTGAGTGAGATGGTTCCCTGGCCCAAGGTTGGTCTCCAGAACAGCATCTCTGGGGAGCCTGTTAGAAAGGCAGACTCTGAGGCCCCAAGTTTAAAGTTTTGTGATAAACGTCATCATATTTCTATCTAGTCTCTGTGTCCTTGAGTACGTGTGTAGAACCTCAGTCTGAGATGGTGTTAACGTCACGAAATTGAGGCTGTTTGGCAATGTGAAGCCCTGGCGCAGAGTCCCCCTCACTCTCCCCAGCGCCTCAGGTGAAGGCCTTTCTCCAGTTTTAAAGAGGTGATGAAGAAAGGAGACTAACCACTGAAAGGGGAGGGTGTATAAAGACCGATCACGCGTGGGTGGTCTTGTTGGAGTATTTGTCTCAGTTCTCAGCTCCAGTTGCTTGGAGAAGAGTGTGAACCCTAACCACACTTTTCTCAGACATTTCCAAACCGACTATGCACTTTTTTCTGCCCAAAGTTCTGGTCGAACCTGCCAAACCACAGTGCACTGAGTGGCGTGTAGAGTGGGGAGGGTGCTGTTCTGGAAAGTTCTGAGCTCATATGCCCAGTTCCCCTCTTTCTTGGCGGTTCTTGGTTTTTTTTGTTAGAGGGCCCTCGGGTGTCCTCTGCATATCTCCTTACCCATGAAATCCTGGATCTAATGGGATGCATCTAATCCAGTGGTTCTGAAGCAGGGGTGAGTTTGTACACAGCGGACATTTGGTAATGTCCAGACACCATTTTGATTGTCACCACTGGGAGTAGGTGCTATTGGGACATTGTGAGTAGAAACCAGGGATGTTGCTAAATGTCCTATACTGCACAGGACAGTCCCCCACAATGAAGAGGTTCCAGCCCAAAGCGTCAACGGTGATGAGGCTGAAAACCATGATACAACCAGCCAGCACATAGGACAGTGAAAGGAGAACAGAACAGTGCCTAAGAGCCTGTGCTGTGAAGTCAGGTGGCTTCACTGGAGTCCTGAACCTACCACTTCCCGGTTACCTGACTTGGGATTAATCACTTAACTCCTCAGAACCTCAGATTTCCACCTGTAAATTGAAATAATAACAACAGCTACCATTCTAAGGTCCCTCTGAGAATCGAATGAATACATAAATTACTTGGTCCAGCGCTTGGCACAAAGCAGAAGTTCAATAGTAGACATTATCATTTCCGTGGCAAATTATCTGGGTCTTTGTGTGTGGACTTGAGTCTCACCCCTGGCAAAGTTGAGACGTTGGTCCACCTTGCTTTCTCCTTAAATCCACCTTGGGGATGCCTTTCCCTGAAATTCATGCTCTCTTTAGCCCACATTTCATCTCTCTCTCCCTCCCCAAAAGAATCTGCCCCAGTCAGTTTCCCAGATTCACCGCCAACCAATCCTGCTTGACCTCCGCCCTCCTGGTGACATCCTCTTCTCTCAGTTTCTTTTTCCCTCCTCCCTCTTCGGCTGCTTGGATTGTAACAGAGCAACCTACTTGGTATTGCGGGCAGAGTCTGAAAAGAACTGGAAGGAAGCCCTTAGAACTCATCAAGTGCAACTGTTCACAAACATATTGGTTTTGAACAGAGGGACTTCTTTCACAAAAGAAAATGTCACAGAACCTGTGTGTGTGTATGTGTGCATATGTGTGTACACACACGTATATGTATATACAGTCATGCATCGCTTAACGACGGGGATAGGTTCTGAGAAATGCGTTGTTAGGAGTTTTCTTCGTTGTGAGACTATCACAGAGTGCACTTACACAAACTTAGATGGTGTAGCCTACTACACACCTAGGCTCTATGGTATTAATCTTATGGGACCGCTGTCATATATGCGGTCCGTCCTAGATCGAAACATCATGTGATACATGACTGTACATACATATATACACATAGAGACACACGTATCTGACCAACAGGAAGCCCCAGTTGGAGGAGGAGTAGGTTCCCCACCCCAACCCACCAAGCATGGCAGACTTGATGTCCCCCCTCATCTTTCTCACTTGCACGGGTCCCTAAGACCCTTTACGAAGTTCTAGGATTCGGTGCAGTCCAATCTGTAGGTTTGACAGAAGAACAAATGGAGATTTGAAAGAAGATAGGGCCTGTTCTTTACTCGAGGTGAACTCCCAGCATCCCCTACCTGTCATCTTTGCCTCTCCCCACTGGATACGGGCCGAACTGATGCTTGTGACAATCAGCTCAGGTCCTCCACCCAGGGGTTGGAAAGCATGGACAGGGCAGAGGAGGGAGCCTGGGAGAGCAGGTGAGCTGAGGTCCAGATTCCAAGTCAAGGCGGCCAGTCCATCACCACATACGCTAGTCCTGGGTTATCTCAGAGCCTCAGTTTCCACATCTGTAAAATTGGGCTAATAAGCACCGCCCACCTCACTGGTGAGAGGACCAGAGGAGAGAGACGATTAGGTTTGGCGTTGTAAACTGTGAAGTGCAGTCCTGATATACAAGACAGGACAAAAGTTGCATTTCTGTCCCTGATCTCCAAAGTCCATGCCTCATGGGGCCAGAGGGGGATGGATATGAGTGGAGGGGGCTGGGTGGGGTCTGTGGCAACCTGAAGAACAAGGGCCCCCTCTAAAGAGGGCATGACCACTCAGCACCAGCCATTGTTGCTTTGCAGAATTAAGGACCCAAGATGGCAGGATCTTCCCATTTTTCAAGAGAAAGGAACAAAAGTACAGATTTTTATGTGACAGTACCTAATTTTTAAGTGTTAGCATTTAATTTGAAAATTTAAAAAGTAAATAAAACCCATCTACAAACCAAATTCAGCTCACGGCAGCCACTTGGCAACCTGAGTGTGATGAGCTTAGCCCATGAGGCCCCAGGTCATGGTACCGAAGGGAATGTGACCTCGGGAGGGTCGGCTTCAGGAGGTGAGTAATGGGAGGGGGGCACTGTGTAAACCAGGACAGGCACACGAAGGCATCCCGGGTCAAGTAGGGGCAGAAAGGCTAACTGTTCCCGGGGGCCAGCCTGAGTCAAGGGCCTAGAAACCTGAGAAGCTGGTTCCTGGATGTGAACCCGGCTCTTGTGCTTAGTGGCTATGTGAAGTTGCACAAGGCACTCTTCTGAGTTTCAGGTGCCATGTCCATGGGGCTAATAGTACTGACATCACAGGGTTTGCAGGAAGATGATTTGAGATCACGCAGTGTCAGAACAATGCCCGGCACGTTTAATTTGTCAGGAAGGAATAACTATTTTGCGGGTGTTTTGTCATCCGCCTCTACCCTAGGTTGTAAAGGTGCAGAGAAGAATAGACACGGCCAGTCTTGAGGAGTTTGTGGTGTAATCACAGCATCAAGTATTTACAAGGTGGTGACTGGGAATTGCCAGTCTTAGGAGACTAGCTCAGGATTCGGGCAAATCGGAGACAGAGTTCTGATCCACCACTTACTAGTGAAGAACTTGATTTCAGTGACTTACGGTCACTGGGCTTCCTCCTTTGTGGTGTGATGATAATGGGGTCAACTTCACAGGGTGCTGTGAGGACCAGGTGTGATCACAGCCATAAGACCCGTCACATGGATGAGGCTCACAGGGCAGGGAACTGATCAGAGGGACAGAGCAGTCCTCCAATCCAGTTCTGGCTGATCCTGAGCCCAAGCTTTCAATATGCCACAGTGTCCTGGCCATCATTGTATTCCCAAAGACTAACGCAACCTACTAATACTCAATATATGTTGTTGAGTGAATGACTGAATGCAACTACCACCACTCAAAATAGTAACAATAACTCTTTTCTAGCACTTACTATGTGACGAATACCATTCTAAGCATTTTACATATACTAACATTTAATCTTCAGAACCACCCTGTGAATCTCCATTTCACCAATGGTAATATTAGGGTGCAGAGGGTTAAGCAACTTGACCAAAGTCACACAGCTAGGAAGTGGCAGATCTGGGATTCAAAATCCAGCAGTCTGATTCCAGTGATAAACTACACTACATTACACTACACTATATACTATCTACTATATACTGTACTATCCTATATTATACCATGCTCTATATGCTATAGTACATTATAGTATGTATGTGCTGTATATACAATATATACACACCCTATATACAATATTATTATAATACACTACACTATACTTACTATACATACTACACTATATATACTATATTATATATTATGCTACCCTATCCTATACTATATATACTCTACTATACTATATTATACTACACAATACCATGTATATATATACTATACTACATATACTTTTCAATAGTATATTACACTACCCTACCCTATACAATACTATTGTACTATATATACTATATTTACTGTACTATACTACCCTATATATGTGTGCTATATATACACATATAATGTATACTATGCTGTACGTACTTTGCCATATTATAATATACTGTGCTGGGCCGGCCCCGTGGCTTGGAGGTTGGGTGCGCGCGCTCTGCTACTGGCGGCCGGGTTCGGGTCCTGGGCGCGCACCGACGCACCGTTCTCCGGCCGTGCTGAGGCCGCATCTCACATACAGCAACTAGAAGGATGTGCAGCTATGACATACAACTATCTACTGGGGCTTTGGGGGGGAAAAAATAATAATAAATAAATAAATATACTGTGCTATATTTACCATACTAGACTTCACTATACAAATATATATATTATATATACTATACAATATAGTCTATATTATATTATTCTATATTATACTATCCTATGCTACATTATACTACCCTATACTATGTATATATACTATACTATATATATTCTACTATACTATATATTTTACTACTCTATACCATATATATAGTACTGTACTATACTATATAAACCATCTATACTCTATATATACTTTACTGTACCATATATACTATCCAGTATTCTACTATACTACCCTACACTATATATACTACACTATAAAATAAGGCCAACAATAATTGTACACCTGGTACATGCAGCAACATGGATGAATCTCAGATCCATTACGCTGCATGAAAGAAGCCAGACTCAAAGGCTGCGTACTCTGTGGTTCCATTGAGATGATGTTTTGGAAAAGGCAAAACTCCCAGGATGGAGAACAGATCAGTGGTTGCCAGGGTCTGGAGGTGGGGGCGGGGTTGGCTACAAAGAGGCACAGGGGGATTTGGGAGATAATTGAACTGCTCTATATCTTGATTTTGGTGGTGGTTACATGACTATTTGTGTTGGCCAAAGCTCATAGAACCGTACATAAAAAGGGTTAATATTACTGTATATAAATTATACTTGACAGAAAAGGTAAAATAATAATCATAACAATAGTAATCACAGTCCTCGACTCATCGGTTTGTTCACCCACATTCAGTCCACGTGAAGGACTCCTGCTCTGTGCTGGGCACTTGTTGGGCACCCGGGATATGGCAGACAGAATCCACGGAGCTTTCGTTCTGGTGGAAACAGATGTTAGACAAGCAACGTAGATCATAAGATCATCTCCGATGGTGATGTGTTTGATAAGAAAGTTAAACAGGGCAATGTGGTCTGCAAGTGACTCGAGAGGGAGACTAAAGTGAGCTGTAATTATGGAAGGTCTCCACACCCCGGGCGCTGTTCTCAGGGCATTACAAGTATGAACTCACTTAATCTTATATGAACAACCCTCTGAGATGAATTTTAAAGATGAAGACAGTGCAACACAAAGAGTTAAATAACTTGTCCGAGATTTCCCAAAGCTAGAAAGTAAATATAACTGGGCGTTGAACTCGGGCATCTGCTTGGAGATCATTCTCTTATCCACCACCCACGAATAAGGTCTATTTACTTTGCACAGCACTTGGCACAGAGTAAGTGCTAAATAAATGACAGTTGTCGCTGTTGCTGTAACAGATCTTCATCAGGATGCAACGTCTTTGTGTTTTTTTCCAGGGACCAAAGCGGATGTTGGATGCTCAAGTGCAGACAGACCCCGTATCCATCGGACCTGTTGGCAAATCCAAGTAAACAAATCACTACAGTCCCCACCAAGTCCTCCTGCCACCAGGATGTCTCCTCCCCACTCCATCTCCTCCCCAAACCCACTCCATGTATATATTTTTTCTTCTGATGGCCATCAAATGAAATTCTGCCTACAAAATAAGCCTGAGCTGTTGTATATTGAGGTGTATTATTTACGTCTCTGGTCAAGTCTTTCCCGGTAAATAGCTGTAAAGATGGTTTAGCAAGTTAATTAGTAAGGTCAGAAGAGTTGGTTGCCAAGCAGGGGAGGGAGGGGACGGAGGAAGGCATTCTGGTTAAGTTATGAAAAATGGCAGTGACGAGTAAGTTGCAGAAGAAAAATGCCTGGTGGAAGGAATTACGTTTTGTAGTAAATACGTGCTCATCCTCTAACCTTTTAGAGGAGAGACGAAAATCTGTTTGTTTAAGTTCACATTTCAAGGAGGGAGAACATGGGCTCGGCGCTGGGAGGTTGCCAATTTCCTGGAATGGAATGTGCGGGGAATGAAAAGGGAATGAATAAGAGTCGTTTTTCAAATAGGGTCCTTGAAAGTGATTGACGAGAGGGAAAAGATTGACTGGAGAGGGCTTGAGATGATTTGGGAAAACAATTGCTTTTTTAGGCTCAGCGACAAGGGCGAAGATTACAACTTCCTAAAAAACAATGCAAAACAAAACAAATGAAGTTGCAAGCTTATTACGCAACACAAGGGGGCGCTGAGGGCTCCATGTTAATCCTTCAACTGGTATCCCTAACAAAGATTTGGTCTCTGCAATCTTACATTATTAATGTTTCTCAGATGGCCGAGGGGCTTGCTTCATCTGTTCTGTCTGACACTTATCTCGAGTCTGTCTGTAATTTCCTAATGTTCTCAGGATGTGCTCTGATAAAACCCTTCCCGTAACCCCAGTTAATAAAAATTTACAGAAGATTATTCAAATACCTGAGTTGTTTTTAATACTTGTACAGAGGAGTAAATAGGTCCATGAGCCTATTAAAATGTAATTCAAAGTAGCAAAGATTGACTGATATCATGTATACTGTATCTTCCTTTTTCTGATTTAATAAAAAAATACATTTACATCTAAAGCATCTTTTAATTGTCAACTTGTAAAGCAGGTCTCTCCTACTCTGTGTCTGAGATGCTTTATCTCCCACAGTATGAAATCAGTGCTCTTCCTCTAGCTTCTCTTCTCCCCCAGATCTTCCTAGATTTCCTTGTTTATGAGCACACACATCTACAAAGTGTGTGCGTGTGTATGTGCATATACACACAGGCACATTATAAAAGTACTGTCTTAGCCCAGGCTCCCTAGAGCAGAGCCTGAGACAGGGATTTGGATGCACATGATATGCTGAGGGAGGGCTCCTAGAGAAAGGGAAGAAGAGAACAGGACAGGGAAGGAGCTGAGCAAGGGCTGGTCTCAGCTGGAGGGGAATTTTGTCCTGATCCCCCCGGGAGGCTCTAGAGCATGAACTGCACCACACAGTTGGTTCTACCTTGAGGCAAGGGCGCCAGCCTTTGCATCCTTGGTGGTGAGTCATAGGCCACCCTGGGAGGTGGGGAACAGGCAAGCTGCTCCCATCAAGCTGAGAAGCTGGATCCCTTAGCAGCTGGAGGACGAGTGCATCTGCAGTGTTTACTGCAGATACACACACATATATTCAGATATGTATTTATACCACGTAGACACACTTTCATACATGTAAACATACACTGCATGCAGGAATAGACAGATACGGGGACACATTCGTATTTATATACTACATACCGGAATAGGTAAATGCATATACACACTCATATTCACACACACACAAATAGATACATGTAACTAACACAGATCCACGCATACACACTGGCTCACACAAATCCATCCCATGTGCAAACCATCACATACTGATCGGAAATAAACATTGAATATACTCTCCTGACAAGTCTGCACCTTAGGCAAATAAAACCATGGCTTTGGCAACAAGGTGTTTGGGGAAAAACTAATATCTCTAAAAAACCAAATTTGGGGGGCCCTTTGCTGCTGGGGCCTGCTAGCTCCCAGTGTGAACTGGCTGAATGCTGGGTTTCAAATAAAGACCAGAGGTCTTTTCCTTGCAGCTGGGTCAGTTTCTTCAGACCTCCTGCCCAAACTTGGAGATTACTCAGTGTCCGTGACTCACCCACTTGAGACAACCTCATGTCACTTCATGTCCGAATGCTTAACTTGGCACAAATCGGGAAAAAACCCTTTGGGGGAAGCCCTTGGTGGGGGGGGACTCTCCCTGCTCGCACGCCATCATAGAACGTGGGATGATTCAGGAAACCAGGCAGCTGGTTATTCCTTTGTCTCCAAACACCAGGGGGTTGCCTGGTCCAAACACCAGGGGGTTGCCTGGTGCGACCTTTGGTGAGCTCGGGCCACGCTAGACCATTGAGAAAGGCGACAGTATCATTTCCAGGTTTCACCTCACTGGGCTCAGGGGCTTTTTGCCCTGATGAGAAACGCCCCCAGGCCAGACTGAGTCACTAACGCAGAAGGACCTCTCCCACCCCCCACCTCCCCAGAAAAAAATATAAAAATTTTTAAAAAGAGGTTGTTTGCTGAGAATCTCACTGCAAAGTATGCCAACAGTTTCTGTAACTGGTTTCCCATCTTCCTAGCCAAAAAAGAGAGCAATCTTTTAATGAAATTGCCTGTTTGTTTTTTAAAGGCAAGAAAATCTAAGCCAGAGCAGACTCAAAAAATGACTTATTTGGAGGATTCTTAATTCAGTCGTAGCCTAAGAAGCAAGTTAAAACTGCATTTTGGAGTTTTGTGGGTTTTTTTTTTTTTTTGAGTTGAAAGCCCATTTCTGATGCATTTACAGTAAATACTAACTTCCATGCCTCATGCTGAACTCGTGTGGACACAGAGCAGACACTCTCCAGGTGAGCTCAGGAAAACTTCTGGGACATGGATTTACAGAGGGACTGAAGTTCCTCAAAATACGGAGCCCAGAAATGCCATTCAGACAGCAACACTTGCACACAGCAAAACATTAACACCCTGAAACGGAAAGAGAAATCAAGTTGTGGGGGAGGGGCAACGGTGACCTTTTTTCAATTTACAAACTCATTTACTTATTGACTTATTTATTTTTAGGTGCACAGAGAAGTGCGTCTTCTTCAAGGTCAAGAAGAAGTGGCCTTTTCCAAGAATTGAGCTATTGAACTGAAATGGCCGCCATTGGGAAAAAAAAAACTGCTTTCCAGTTACAGCTGACGGTGACTTTTTGACTGATACCCATAAAAGAATTCATTCAAAAGCGTAGTTGTTCTCAGGAGCCCAGGAGGTCCCTCATGAATCCATCATCTTGGGGCAGGGGATATATACCCAAAGAAATGCCAAAAAGGGAAGAAAAAGAGAAAGAAAGTGCAATTCTTGTGTTTTTGTTGTACCCCCTCGGCTCTCTAAACAAATTATCAGGGATTTAAACACACACACAAACACACACACACACACTCTGGATTGTCCTTGTTTGTTTGCAAACAGTCCAGATTTAAATTAGATTCCAAGAGACTAGAATCTGTGTCCTGCTGGCTCCTTCTATAAGTGCCTGGAAGGGAGCAGATTTCTACCCACTGGACCTGACAAATGTTTATTTCTCATGTCAAAGAGCTCCAAGTTGATCTTAAGGTTTAAAAAATAAAATCAGCTCGCCTACCTCCCTGAAAGAGAAGGAAAGGAAAATGATTTCAATGATTAACTCACCCAAGTTGCAAACGCAGGAAATGCGCTTTGCAGAAATGTCAGATGATAAGGGTTGATTTTAACCATCCTCCCAATGTCCCTTTTTAAGCCTTTTAAAAAAGGCAATTCGCACGGTGAGTAGAATCAGGCTCCTCTGTGGTCTAGATCTTGTTCACTCTATCAGGGAAAATAAAGTGGCACGGGCCCACTGGAAATTACAGGCTCCATTAGGAAGAAAAGAAATTACTTACTGAGCAGCAAATTGTGTAAATTTGTAATTCAGATCTTTAGTGCTGGCCTGAATGCCGTCAGGATCCAGCCCTTTGCATAAATTGGTTTTCTGGGGAGTTTAACTCTTTAGGCTCTGTTTGCCTTCCCCAGAAAGTTGCTCCTTCTAGCCTCTCCATCTCCTGGCCCTTTAACTTGCTTAGCAGACATAGCAACCCATGCAATTTCACAGAAGTAAGGACAATAATAATAATGCCTTACATTATCACACTTTACAGTTTATAGAATGCTTTCTGAATACATTATCTAATTTAAAGCTATATGCTTCTAACTGAACTTAATTGCCTCTTTTGTGACATCTTATTCAGAGGGGACTGGCATGTACCTGTATGGCTTTTTTTTTTTCCCCCAAAGGAGCGCTTCGTGACAAAATGGCCCCCAGCTGCTTTTCTGGTAGTTGTCGCTGCTTACATGTTTACTCTCACTGAAAGATGTTTTTGTTTAAATCCGGCCACATGGGGGAGTTCCAGGACCTAGGGTCCTACAATCTCTAGCCAGGCCCTTTTCCCTGACTGCCTAGCAAGGAGGTTGGGCCAAAGAAGCTCTTAGGAATGTGTTTGTTGATTAACTTCTAGAAAGCGGTCAAGTTTAACGAAGAGAACTAGAACAAGAGGGCCAAACTGGGCAAGTCAATTGCCTTCTGTGATTCCCTGCCCCGCTAGTCAAAGATAAAGTGGGTTGGTTTGTTTTTCCATTCTTATCAGCTCAGTCTTGGAAGAAGCTTAAGGAAGCATAGCGCGATGGCAAACCACTTAAGTCGGTGTCATTGCAAAGTATTTCAGTTATCCTTGCCAACCCATCACGCTCCACCGAGCAGCCTTACCTCTCAAGTCTCCACACCCAACCAGAGGACAAGTGACTTAACCTCTCAGTTTCCTCCCTAAACAATGCGATAATAATAGTGCCTACTTCATGGAGGTGCTGTGAGCATGGAGTGAGATGAGCATGCCAAACAGTTGGTGCAGTGGCTGGCACATAATAAGCACTTAGTAAAGGAGAACTATTATATCATAGGGGACTTTCAGCACCAAGTAACAGAAAACTCCTACTCAAATTGGCTAATAATAACAATAATAACAATAGGGATAGTCATCATTTCATATAACAGGTATTATGTCACAGCGTGGCTCTGAATCTCTGGGACTCTGCTCTGCCGTGTTCCATGAGTTGACTTTATCCTAAGACCAGGATGACAAATGATGGCTGCAGTTCCAGACAAGGGGATTAAGTTTACCATAATCAGTTTCGATTTATCCTTTTGGTCATATCAATATTGAAAAGGAAATTATAATGAGGCAATCAACAATAAAGCAATTATTAATATTAATATTTTTAAGGTTGGCCATTCCCCAAACCAACCATGCCCTTTCAGTTCAGACTGAGGGGATTTGTGTAATCTGAAGCTGGGCCATTAGACTGTGAGCTCAACATCAGGGGCCTTCTTGTCTGTCTCATTCACTGCTCTATCATCAATGTCTAGTACTATGCCTGGACATAGTAGATACTCAATAAATATGGGCTAAATGGACAAATTGATAGATAAATATTCTATGGTCACATCCATTGGTGAGTCAGTTGCTTTACGCTCTAGTATGAGTTTATTTTAGCACCGAGTGTTTGATCACTTGTAACCAGATAGCTACC